TTCCGTCAATTAACAGAGAAATTGTGAGCAACTGAGCGACTGACGGCTTATGAATGACTCACCTCCGCGGAATTAGACAATGATGACTTTTGCGGTATGCTCAGCAGTTTTCAGTCGAGGCGTTGGGTGGCGTGAGTGGACACCTTCACGCCCCGGTCGCTTTACCCCCGTGAAGGATCCCCATTGTTCATTGAATAGGAAGCTGGGTGTACCCCCAGGGCCTGTATGGACCCAGTGGCGAAGGGGAAAATTTCGTGCCCCGCCCGGGAGTCGAACCCTATCATCCGGCAGATAGACTAGCTCCTAGTCAGTATGGCGTTCGACAGTCATATACGCACTGTGCTGAAAGAGCTATTCAGGTTCCGAAGAGGGGATGTTTAGTGTCCATAGTTGGGCGCTATGCTGTGGTCCTGCCCATACGTCCACGTGAACAAAACATTCGTTCGCAGGCCAGAGCACAATTTTCGAGTTAGAGAGAAATGATTTTGCAGGGCAGTGCAGATTTCGGCCCCTATTTCCAGTGACGTCACTTTTGTGTAGAAAGTGCGGTTGAGTAGTTGTGCAAGGAGTCTGAACCAATCAGCAGGTAGCTTGGTCATCCCCAAGTGGCGGTTGTAGCTGTCACACGTGTCGGCACGTGGGCTCCAGACCCCAGGCGCCAGCTATTTCTAGGGAATGTCAGAAAAAACTAGCAGCAGAATGCGAGGCATTCGGCCCCCCTCGCATTTCCGGCCCAGGGAAATTAGAGGATTATTTCAGGGCATAAGTGACAGTACCCATTGCCAAGATCGCAAGATGTCTGCATTCAGATTTCGTCACAAGCGGTTGATTGCTTACTGCTTAGAAACGATGCTTACCATTTGCCTCATATGGGGAGGGGGTCGACCAATCAGCCGCTACCATGTCAGCCTTAAGTCTCTGAATGTACGAGGAACTGTAACCTTAAAAATAGAGAAACGTGTCTCCAGTCAGAACATGATCACAATTTGTTACCAGCTCATAAACCAGTGGCGTAACGGGCGTAACTATTTTTGCTTCATGAAATTCAGCCTGTCCTTTATGACATTATTGTTGTTCTTTATTCTTCTTGAGGGAAGCCTGTTTCCGGTTTAGTAACCATATTAAAGCAAGCCCTGACTTAACGGGGGACCGCACATCCAGTATAAATCATCTGAGATAGATCTGGCTCAGGATAGGGACCAGTGGAGAGCTCTTGTGAACACGGTGATGAACCTTCGGTTTCAGTAAAATGCTGGGAAATTCTTGAGTAGGTGCACAACAGGGCGGTTTCTCAAGATGGGCTCAGCTCCATGAGTAAGTAAGTAAGAGGCAAGGGAAGCTGCCACGTCTCTGCCTCCGCAAGATTTTGCTCTTGCGCGTAAGCAGCTGAATTTGTATGTAGAGTCCTGGGTTCGGATATTCACTCCCGTCTTTCCATATGTGAAAGTTTTCCCTGTAACAGTCCGTGGAGGCCCATAGGGTTGTGAGACGTCGAGGCTCCTACATTTTCTTTAGGCAATCGGCTCACAGACGGCGGTGAGGTTGTCAGCCGGCTGTCCTTAACCCCAGGAACATTCCTGGTACTCATTTCTGTTAGAGGCTGAGTCGACCCCAGGGCCATAGTGCGGCTAGAAGGATTGGGTGAGCTGAAAAAAATCCACCTCATCGGCACTCGAACCTGCGACCATCCGTCTTGTAGCATAGTGCCTCAACCAACTACTTTACCGCGTGCCCCCTTTTTCCTTATGCAGAACTTCGAAATTTCATTTCATTACAGGAGTGCTCCGTGAGTTTGGTGCCATACTTCAGGAGCGCACTGAGGGTTCCCTATAGAATAACTTTGAAATAGGAACCCATGTCCGCAAACGTAACATAGCAGCGCTACGGCGGCAGTTAAAATCATTTTGTTTAAACTTGACGCCTCAGTGTCGAACTGCATTGCATAGAGGAACAGCCATCCACCAGCACTCGCGCCATTGCCAAGATCCTGGGGACATCAAAATCAAGTGTTTGGAGGATCCTGTAGGACCAAGAGCTTTATCCGTATCATCCAACGTGAGTACACGACGTAGGTCCAGCTGACTTCGTACCAAGAGTTCAATTTTGACAGTGGAAACTGAACCAATGTTTACATCAGCCCAACTTCCTGACTCACGCGTTATTCACAGACGAAGCGCAGTTTACAAGGGATGGCTGGTTCAGCTGTCGAAACAGCCACGTTTGGACTGACGAAAACCCCAACGTTACTGTAATTGGTTACCACCAGGCGCAATTTTCTGTCAATGTCTGGGCGGGCATCATTGGCGATCACCTGATTGGGTCTTTCCTCCTACCACCACGACTTAAGGGGCCCTTTTACAAGGTGTTCCTGGAACGTATCCTTCTGACTCTGCTAGAAGACGTGCCACTGATTGTGCGGTGGCAAATGTGGGGATATATTGTACAGGGGTTCACGTTGTTCGTGTTCTTAAGCTGGACACTTCCCTCTGAAGCGTTTGTCGTGTACCTTCAAATGCAGTGCAAAGGCACCCGGTTTTGCCGTTGATTTTTAAGTCATACAGTTATTCAGCTTACTACTCGTAAATTACCAGTCAAATTCAGCATCACAGCAAGGACCAAGTAATGGAAGACCAGTTTTGCCATTTTAATTCCAAAATCTCTAGTTAAATATTCATGATATTGGAACCGTCTTCGAAGAAAGCCATAAGTGGGCTAGCAAAGAGAACTGTTGGACTTTCAATGTTGTTGAGCTGCTGGTTGTCGGCGCTTCAAGAGAACACGAAAATTACATATCACATCAAATTACTTATATTTTAAGCCACTCAGCACCAATTCCCAACTTACTTTAATGTAAACGCTGATTATAGATGTTTCCCCGTAACTGTAACGAATGCTTTGTTGCATGTTAAATTACAGAATCGTAGGTGAGGTAAAGGTCAAGTTGTCTCTGTGCTTATTTAATTAAGCACCATACCATGAAGATGTGTGAGGGAGTGGAGGTATAGCTCCACTATTCTTTACCACAGCACCAGATGGAGGTGAGTGGTCAGCTTCACGTCCCTGCTGCTGTACCTCCGGGGAAAGAGCCCCCTGTACCCATTGGCCAGGAGGCTGGGTGGGCCTCAGACCTAGTTTCGACGTTATGGAGAAGAGAAAATTCTTACCCCTGCTGGGAATCGAATCCTGACCGTCCAGCCCATACAGAATCGTAGATTCTGGTAGGTTCATACCGACGTTTCAAAAGAAGCTACTGCACGTCTTCGGTGTCGGAGCAGTTCTATCCAGAAGATGATTTTGTTGGCACATCAGAGTCTTAATATGAAGCAAAAGAAGAACTCAAAAGCGAGAACCCTGCCACCAGTCTGGCAGGCTCAATGTGACTACTGAGTATGCTGATGCAACCTGACAAGATAATTCCAGTCTGTGTATGGACTCTTGTAGGTTGGAGGTGGAGATGATTTGTCTTGTGTGGCATATTTTTGCAGTATTCCTTTATATTCATAATGTGTATGTGTTAGCAGTCTTCAAGTGCATACAGTCTCATTCACCACCTCTACACTACATGTTTCGGCAGTATGCTGCCATCTTCAGGTGTATTGGTCCGTCAACCATTTCACTGCTTGCCTTTATATGTTGGACATACATCCAACGATACAACGCACGCAGTTATAAGAGCAGAGCACACCATAAGACTCAATATACACACAACATTAGAAACATAAGAAGAACGACCCGCATGTGGATGATTCAATAATACACACGAATTTAAAATATGACGTATGAGATAATAAGTTTTAACAAGTTTTCAATACATAAACTTTATTGCTATATAAGGACGTATACAAATTTAATATTATTTCTAAATGGACATATAAAGGCAAGCAGTGAAATGGTTGACAGATCGATACACCTGAAGATGGCAGCATACTGCCGAAACATGTAGTGTAGAAGTGCTAGATGGGACTGTATGCACTTGAAGACTGTTAATATACACACTATGAATATGAATCAGTGCAACAGGACGCAAAAATACAACATAGTGTTCCTTTATGCTGTCATTCCTGCCATATTTATAAACTGCCCTGTGACACATCGGAAACTCTGTGATGAATTATTGCTAATAAGAATGGCAGTAAAGATGACTTGCTAGTGTTCTGAAGAAACTGGTGCTGTGGATGAGTCTGGGAGTTCTTCATTAGGCACTATGGTCCCCCCCCCCTAACGCTCCAGATCTGTGAGTACTTTGTCTTTCTGTCTATTCGCTCATGTGTTGGCTGTATGGTCCTGCAAGAACCTTGACCTCCATAGCAACAGGTGCCCATTTTTCTCTATTACTTGCCTTTACCATTTCTCTTCATTCTCATCTTGCAGCCATCTGTGTCTGGGTCTTCCCACTTCTCTTCTACTCTCTGGCTTACTTCTAAAATTTTCCTTAGCCACTCTTGTTTCTTACATTCTGATCCCACGCACCAACCACTCCAACTTTCTGATTTTAATATCCACTGTCAGAGTAGGGGTCCTGTGTAAATCCCTCAGTTCTTGTGCTCCAGGTGCCACACATACTCAGCAGTTATGTCTGCTTACCGAATTGAGATGTGTTGTGTAGTCGAGGGATTTCTGTATGTGCTACATTTGGTTGTCACCATGTTTTACTATTTTTGCTTCCAAAAGACGATGCCATATCTCATGACTCTTGAGATTTATGGTGGCTTAGAAGAATGTGTCTAAATTTGATAAGATTAACATATGAAAGTAGGGCTTACAGCCTATCCTTAAAACATTACAAAACAGTGGCAATCTCACAGCGTGGTTACTTTTAGAGTGCCATTATTTTGTTGTGAATTTTCTAATCTTCTTTATTTGCAAGGAAATTAATACACTGACAGTGAAGAGTATTGCCTACTGGATTGTGAGACAGTGTAGTTTGCAGAGAGCCTAGCGTTTCACAGAATCATACTGCCTCCATCTTCAGGGTAGATTATGACTATATTTTTTTTAAGGGAATGGCTGCTAGAATTTCTAGAACGCGATGGTTTGGGTGTACTACTGGAGAGTCTGAACCGTCTGGGGGACCGGCGAACCCACTCAGTGGCAGACACCCTCACCCAGATGCAGTGCATGTCATGCCTGAGAACTGTAATGAATTTCCGCCCAGGCTTACACTATATCGCAGATAGAAATGAGTACACAAGGAAGCTTGCTACAAGTAAGTGAAACTGCCTCAAGGCTTAGATCTTAAGTTTGCTAATCCTGTCAGACATAATGGTAACTATATGTACTATCTAATTTAAGATGCACAAAGTCTCCACATTCTGCCCACAATAAACAGCGACTGTTTCCCCAAACAGCATTAACCGCTAGGGCTCTGTAGCGGTGACGTAATGTGTTTCGTGTGAGGTACAGACTGAATTCTTATATATAAAGTCTCTGCATTCTGCCCACACAGTGTATTTGTGTGTTCCGTATGGTTCTCACAATAAACAGCGACTGTTTCCCCAAACAGCATTAACCGCTTTGGCTCTGTACCGAAGACGTAATGTGTCTCCTGTGAGGTACGGACTGAATTCTTATACAGGGTGTCCCAGGAGGAATGGACCAAACTTCGGGAGGGTGTTCCTTATGTTAAAGTATGCCGATATAACCCAAAACACCTATGTCCAAAGTTGAACGGTTTCGGAGATAATGGCCCAAGAAAAGTGTGGTCTTCTGGCAGGTCCACGCACTGTACCTCTCAGCTGAAAGGCCTTATCTGTGTTTGCCCTTGAGTGCGGTGATACACCCTAGCCGTGCTTATGTAGTTGGCTTTATCAGAACGCGCAGTCAGTACGTTATGTCAGCGCTTGCCATTCATGTGTCATGTATAGTGCTTGGAAACCCTAAGGACAATTATGACATGGCGAGCGAGTATTTTGTACTTCAATTTTATGGCTTCATGTCACTCACAAGTTAGTTTGATGTTACGTACATTATTAACATTACAGAATCCACATATTCCTGCCAGTTTTGTTATGTATTTTGTAATCAACAAGTGTGCAACGCCGGTCAAAGTTTGCCACTTCTCTGGCCATTATCTCCGTAACCGTTCAACTTTGGACATAGGTGTTTTGGGTTATATCGGCATACTTTAACATAAGGAACACCCTCCCTAAGTTTGGTCCATTCCTCCTGGGACACTCTGTGTATAAAGTCTCTGCATTCTACCCACACAGTGTATTTGTGTGTTCCCTACGGTTCTCACAATAAACAGTGACTGTTTCCCCAAATAGCATTAACCGGTTGGTCTCTGTAGCGGAGACGTAATTGTTTCCTGCGAGGTACGGACTGAATTTTTATATATAAAGTCTCTGCATTCTGCCACACAGTGTATTTGTGTGTTCCCTATGGTTCTCACAATAAACAGCGACTGTTACCCCAAACAGCATTAACCGGTTGGACTTTCTTATGGAGACGTAATGTGTTTCCTGTCTGGTACGGACTGGATCTTCTGTTGTTTAGATGAATTACAGTGTGCTATCTAAATGCAGACACTCTCCTGAAAATGTTGCAGTTTTGTCGTCAAGCAACCCCACTGTGAGGCTGCAGGTGTATGAGCTGCTGTGTGCTGTGAGTCTTGCATCCCCCCGGGGTCATGTTCTTGCTCTTGATGCCCTCCAGCACTTTAAGGTGTTGTACTTATATACTTATTTTTATAGTTTGAAGATACAGTCTTGTGGTATGTGGCGCTGTGTGTTTTGGAACACAGGCAGCAGTGTATGCCCACTTCATAAGTCGTTACTGCCCCAATGTTGAGCTCAGTGGGGTAGGTTAGAGAGGGCCAGATCTAGGGCAAACCAATGATAACTGATGGCCTAGAAACTGGCGCTTTGCAGTGCAAACAAAGGAGAAACCCGCACTTTCCCACTGGTTTGCTCATGATACCAGTTCTGGTCCACCTTTCTCTATATGTAGCCTAGGTAACGATCAAGGAATAAGCAAATATACCGTAGCCGTTGCTGAGTAACGGCTTCACAAACAAACTTGTTCCATGGCAAAGATTGAACTATGACAATGAGGAGCGGTATTTTCTACACAGTCTGTGCCAATGGGTTATAAGCAGGACATGTTTAGAGTTTAGTTAGTTGTGAGACATTCACCAACCAGTAAGGACATAAGCGGGGCACATTGTTAGGATCTGTTACCAGGAAACGACTAGTGAAAACAAACTGTTAAGATTTAATATGTGCAGAGTGTACGAATTAGTGTTAGAGCAAGAGTTGCTTGTAGTTAGGATCTGGAAATGGTAAATAAAAACCAACCCAAACCCGATCTATAGTCACTTCAACCCGTGACAATATGTTTTAGACGAACACTGAGTGAAGCAGGAATTGATCTCTCCTTTGTTTGACCTTGGTACAGATTTCATTCATGTAGACAGAGAATTAGTTACATAAGAGAAGTATCAAATTTACTAGAAGATACAAGATCCAAGTTTCCTGTCTGCTGATGTCTGTGTCATCAGAAACATAGTGCTGCCTCTATCACGCCAGATCAGCGGTCAGCAATGTACTGTGTACAGTAGAGTCCAGACAGAGCTGGGCGGAGGTTAAGAGAAACCTTGAGAGAACTTGAAGTGGACAGAGGTTTGGTATGTACATGCTTAAAACCTGTTTCTGATATGTTGGGTACAGTAGGTAACAAAGGTGAAGTTTAAGTTGACTGAGCTCTCCCGGCTCCACATGTTCAGTATTGTGTACAATTAGTACTGCAGAAACCCTTGTATCTATTTGAAAATGGGATCAAGCCCACAAGACATAAATGCCTTTTGAAATGACCACATTCGTCACATTCTTAGAACTAATACAGTGGAGCACAGTCCTATTTGAGAAGCTGATAGTCTCTCAGATGGTCAAAAAATTCCCTGTCTTTTATACAAACTGAAAGTTAATTTGTAAAGACAGTCTTAAATGTAAATTTGTAATAAAATATCCTGGGTGTCTCCTCTTGCAAATAAATTCTGGTGGTTCCCATATCCACACCCTCATATCATATTCCCTTAACATCCATTTTAATATTATTCTCCCCATCTGCATCTAGGGATTGCAAGTGGTCTTCTGTTTCAGGGTTCTCTGACTACTACTTGGTATATGTTCTTTTATCTTCTCTGCATGCTACATGTCCCTTTCTCATGTTCCTCGATTTTATCTTCCCAAGAAGTATATTAAAGAGAGCAAGTTATGAAGGTTGTCACACAATTAGGAATTGCTCCAGTTTCAAGCTGTTCATTTGATGTGTTGTGTCCAGGTGTACCACGGTCTCCGATATCGGTTTGAAGTCATATTGTCAGAACTGAAGACAGCAGAAAGTGACGTGCTTTGTTCGACACTTCTTGCATTCGTGAACTGCCTGGTGTTCGGGTGTGAAGATTTACATCAGAGAAATCGGATCCGTAATGAGTTTCTTGGTATGTTACCCCAGTGCTATTGTGATTAATTGTTTATAATGACTGATTGGTTGTGACTGCAGAATGTGTTTGTGTCCTGACTACATTTAGAGACGCTGGTGTAACTTTACTGCAGTGTTACTTGCTGACATGTAGTATTGCCTCTGTAAGGGGAGATGCAGTCCGGGGTTAAGGTACATGACTCTCATCTGTGGGGTTCTGAGTTCAGTCACTGGTCAGAGCTGGGTGCTGATTTTGCTGTTTGCAGCATCAGTACCAAAGTTAAAAATTTTGTAGATGTTGAAGAAGAGCACCCTAGTCCTCTGTGAGAACTGCTATTCTCACGGAGAGCACCATCTCCTGAGATGTGGACACTATATAGCCCAGTAGAAGCTCACCGACATTTTGAAGCAACACACTACCTCCATATTCAAGGTTCAAGAGTAAGCCAAGGAAGAGACCATGTCATAGCTCAGGCAGTTAGTCGCCAGCTTCCCACTGTGGCATCGCGAGTTCAAGCCCAGGTCAGGTCATGTGGGATTTCTGGTGGACAAAGTGGCACTGGGGCAGGATTCCTCCAATTATTTCAGTTTCCCTTGCCAATTCTCATTCCATCAACTGTTCCGCATCCATCATCATGTACCATCCGGGACTGATACCGTAGGCCAAGTTCTGGCCAATGTACCAAGTGGACTTATTCTAACCCAACCCGAAAAAGAAAGAAGAAAGCCAAAAAGCCAAGGAAGAAGCAATTAGATAAGTTAACTTCTGCCAGGCTTCACATAGCAGGACATAATACTCTTCATAATCACAGCTGTGAGAACCTCCAATCAGCATCATTCTCATGTCTCTGGGGGTCACAGATTCTGTCCTGTAGACATACCTAACTTCAGAAATGTGTTCTGTGATCTTGCCTATGTAGAGGGCACTACTGACATGTCTGGGGAAGTTACAAAAGTAGCATGTTGGCTGCATAGTGTTTAGATATTCTAAAACGTCTCTACAAGGAGCAGGAAGCATACACGTTGTGTTAGTAAGCAGTCATGTTGGTGCTTCTGGTCAGTTTCAGTAAAGTAATGCAGCAGACTTAACAAACATTTTTTTCTTGTAGCATTCGAGGTTGTTATATAATTGAATGTTAAGATCACAGTCTTCAGGGGGGGTGATGCTGTGTAGTTTGGTAGACAGGCTCCACTGTTTCAAAGAAACCTGCTGCCACCATATTCTGCCCTGAAGATGGAGGCAGCAGGTTCATCTGAAATGCTGGTACATACCTACCAGACTACACGGTGTCATCAAACAGATAATATTGTGACATGACGCCTGAAAGCCGAAATAGTGCAGCTAGAGTAGACGTCATAGCTAGGCATGGACTTGGTAAACAGGTCCCCGCAGAAATGAACACACGTGACAGTAGGAAGCTACATTTTCTATGCAACAGGGAGGTGAACAGCAGACCTGTGTGGCCATAGAGGAATTGTCAGGAAACAGATAATGGAGACTGTAATAGATTGAGAACACTATTGTGTGTGTGACAGTGATCAGGAATAGCGATGTAATTACACTGAGTTACGAGTGATGTGTACGAGTACAAGTGGTCAATAAATCCAGATCAGCCAGTCCATACCCCCATGTAATAGTCACGCACCTCTACATGTGAAAATATCTAGACTTGTAACCAGGAGGTTCTCACTTCGGATCTGGGCTATCTTCACTGAGGGTTTGGTCATACTTTGTACTTCCTCCAGCCAAATGCTGGGACAGTGTCTCAACTGGACCATGTTCACGTTCTTCCTAATCTAAATTCTTCATTCATCAGTCATGCTATTTTGTTTTTATTGCTAGTGGGGTGAGACTAAGTCCCTTGTACTGCGGCCACTTCTGGCCTATTGTACCAGCCCCAGATAATAGGTGAGGGTGATTGTGGAGCAACTGGTGGAATGAAGATTGGCAGGGGAAACCGAAGTACTCTGTGAAAACCTGCCCCAGCGCCGCTTTGTCCACCACAAATCCCACTTGACCAGACGCGGGATCGAACCCGGGCCACCGCGATGGGAAGCCAGCGACTAACCACTTGAGCTATGGTGCGGCCATCAGTCATCCTAACACCCAATGTGGTCTAGCTACCGATGACAATATTGTTGAATGTTCCACAAACAAAAACATGGTTTCACATTACAAACTGTAGTCTTAAAACCCACTGCCATGAGTGGAGGCCCATAGAGTTGTGAGACTTTGAGGCTCCCATATTTTCTTGACAGTTGGCTGACAGGTGGCAGTGAGGTTGCCAGCATTATGGGCCAGCCGGCCACCTTTTACCCCCAGGGAGATTCCTGGTACTCACATCTGTTAGAGGCTGAGTTCACCCCAAGGCCATAGTGCGGCTGGAAGGATTAGGTCAATTGAAAAACCTAATGACTTCATCAAATATCTGTCAGGAAGCTGCTGCAGATCTTAATGCCTGTGAAAATTATACTGATAATTGTTAATCACTCTTATATATATTTGTGAATTTAAAATGCCATCAGTGACAAACTTTGTTATATTATGAAATGTGATTCACCTCCCACTTTCCTGTCATCTCATGAACAGGAAGAAACTCGTTATATTTTGTCAGACAGCGATGTGACTTTTGAAGAGATGCAGTTGGCATGGTGCTACCAGCCTGCCTTTTGTTCCAAGGTCACTCCAGTTTTCTCCATATCTGCTTTCACCTTTCTCTCAGCATTTTCCTTCATTTTATGATGCCATTCCATTCATCAACTTGGCTCTCTTTACATGTTTGAAGCTTTTCTCATTAACCTGACTTTCTTGTTTGCATAACATAACTGAAAACCACAAATTTTACTTACTCCTTGGCTGAGCAGCCTCCGTAGTCTAGAGGTAACGTTCTCACCTCATGACTCGTAGTACGCAGGTTCAAATACCCGGCGGAGGTCGTCGAATTTTTAAGGGCGGAAAAATTTAGGGAACAAGTCCTTCGGGAGGGACTTTAAGCCGAGGGTCCCGTGTCATAGCTTTACGGCATGTAAAAGAACCTCATATCTCCAAAGGAGGTCACTGAGCCAAATTAACAGACGTTTCCCGCCCAACAGCAGTCTCTAATACCTCTGGTAGATGGGGGAAGCATTATAGATACCTCCCAGCTAGTAGAGCCAGTCTTGCTGGCTGGGCGGGAATGATGGAAAGCACCAGTACCGGTAGGATATAGAGACTGGTAGAAATCATAGAGGGAAGCACAAGGGACCAATACAGGTCTCAGTACATGGGGAAAACCCACCCTCTCCAATAACTAACTTATTAACTACCCTTTGGCTGTATGGCCCCCTGAGAACCTTGGCCTCTGTTGCAACAGATGCCCCTCCATCTCTGTTAGCCTTTTACCTTTATCTACATGAACATGATTTCCAAAATATTTTCTCTTGACTGTTTTGTCAGCCCAGACATTTGTTGTCTTTCAGGTCTTGGTTTTGGAAGCATTCTGTCAAAGTTCAGGAACTCAGGGAATGAACTAGTGCAGATTCAGGTGGAAGTGTTTGATGAAAAGTTGCACCATGATCAGGCTGAGTTAGAGAAAGATCCAACTAACCTTTCTCTGCAGCAAATCTTTGATATTGTCTCTGCCAAGGTAAGAGCAATTTCACCCTCCTGTAGCAGCAGATCTCATTGTTTGTAATGCATTAGGGGAGAGAGAGGTACACGAATGTTGCACTGTGACTGCCTGATCTGTGGGTGATCTAGATTTGATTCACTTATAAGAATGTACATCTATGAACATGGAACAGAATGGATGGAAGAATATTGCTCTGAAGTGTTTGAAATTTGTGCTATTATTTTATGTCTTTCTTTCTTTCTTTCTTTTCTTGGAGAACTTTGTCACTAATGCAAACATGGTACATCTTGCAGTGTATTTTTAATTGATTTCAGGTTGCAGATTCTCCTCAGTCACTATACTTCCAGTCAATACTACTTAATCTGTCTCAGTTAGATACATCTCAGGCAGCCACGTAAGTGTCTTATACTTATGTTTATTTATTGCTCTAAAAATGTATAAAATAAATTTTGCATGCTTACTCCGGCCAGTGTGAGAGCTCTTCTTGTACACAGAGAGGTCACTGATATAAAGTAATTAACTAAACTAACTTCACAGAGATGGGCCGTGCCATAGCTCAAGCGGTTAGTCTCTGGCTTCCCACCATGGCGGCCTGGGTTCGATCCCGGGTCTGGTCAAGTGGGATTTGTGGTGGACAAAGTGGCGCTGGGACAGGTTTTCTCCGAGTACTTAGGTTCCCCTGCCAATCTTCATTCCACCAATTGCTCCGCAATCACCCTCACCTATCATGTGGGGCTGGTACAATAGGCCAGAAGTGGCTGCAGTACAAGGGACTTAATGCCACCCCACTAGCAATAAAAAAAAACTTCACAGAGCTGAGTCATTCTTGAGAAGCTGCCAGTTGTTCAGCCACTCGAGATTTTAGCAACATTTTATATAACCCAACAGTTCATTACTATGTTCACAAGACCCTTCCACTGGTCCCTATCCTAAGCCAGATCAATCCAGTCCATACCACCCCTTCCTATCTCTCTAAGATCCATTTTAATATTATCTAAAAGTTTGTGATGATGATACATTAGTACAAATATTATGTTTTTGGACAATATCTATTGTCTTGTCTTTATCTGAAAACTCCATCCTTTTTTATTTTTCAAACTACAACGTTTTGGAGACCGAATTCTGTCTCCGTCTTCAGGCAAAACTGACTTAATTGAGACCAATTGATAGAGTTAATCCCAATCTCTGGATATAGGGATGGAGTTTTCAGATAAAGGCAAAACGATGGATAATGCCCAAAAACATAATATTTGTACATTTTAATATTATCCGCCTATCTACATCTTGGTATTCCTAGTTGTCTCTTTCATTCTGGCTTCCTGCAAATATCCTATATGCATTCTGTTTCTCACCCATTCGTGCTACATGCCCTGCCCACCACACCCTCCTTGACTTGATCATTCTAATTATACTTGGAGAAGAGTACAAGTTATGAAGCTCCTCATTATGCAGTTTTCTCCAACCTCCCGTCACTTCATCCCTCTTCGGTCCAAATATTCTCCTCAACACCCTCTTCTCAAACACCCTCAGCCTATGTTCCTCCCTTAATGTCAGAGACCAAGCTTCACACGCATACAGAACCATAGGCAAGATATATATAAAAGTATTTAATTTTGTATAAAATTTGATTAGCCAGGAGCTCGGTCATAGAGCTAAATCTGTCCCAAACAGTGGTGCATGTTACTGTGTCATAAGTGTCAGTTGAAAGAACTCCATGATGTTTGTAGATGCTACCTCATGATAACAGGTTATCTGTTACAAATTGCAGGGATTGTATCTGGGAAGCTTTGGAAGAGATATCTGCTGGAGATTGTTCTGTAACAAAAAAGAACGGCATGCGACGCATGAGAAACTTGATTTCCAGGAAGAACATGTGCAGTGAAAGCACACAGACACCCACCAGGGGCTGGCTGCGTGGACAACTTTTGAAAGCAACTTCTGTAGATGTTGCTGTTCAGGTTGACATGTCAGACAGTTTGGAGCAGAATATGGATGTTTGTGTTCCCCCTTCACAAGACAAAGCAGACAAGAATATTTTGCGGCCACTGCCATTGCAAACTTTGGAGACTTGTCCAACTTCGGAAACAGAACCTGTGCCAGCATCTCCTGTCAATCATCTTCCGGAAACAGACAGCGCAACTCTCCCCTCATTATCGGTATTAACTCCATCGCACATCAGTCCATCTCTGGCCCAGTGCCTTCCACTTCAGTCAGAAACTTCTGGCCAAACTTCACCCACATCAATATCTCAAACCCCTCAGTCTTCTGGTGTATCTGATGCAACACCATGTCCCCTGCCTTCTCTGTCTGCTACAGTGTCTGGCCCATGTCAACCCCCTCTGCCCACAGCAGTGGCTGGTCCACTACCACCCCCTCTGCCCACAGCAGTGTCTGGTCCACCAACACCCCCTTCACCCACAGCAGTGTCTGGCCAACCTACAGCAATGTCTGGTACACCTCCACCCCCTCAGCCCACAGCAATGTCTGGTCCACCTCCACCCTCTCTACCCACAGCAGGGTCTGCTCCACCTCCACCCCCTCTGCCCACTGCAATGTCTGGTCCACCTCCACCCCCTCTACCCAAAGCAGTGTCTGGTCCACCTCCACCCCCTCTGTCCACAGCAATGTCTTGTCCACGACCACCACCACCACCCCCTCTGCCCATAGCAATGTTTCGTCCACCCCCTCAGCCCATAGCAATATCTGGCCCACCTCCACCGCCTCTGCCCACAACAATGTTTGGTCCACCTCCACCCCCTCTGCCCACAGCAGTGTCTGGTCCACCTCCACCCCCTCTGCCCACAACAATGTTTGGTCCACCTCCACCCCCTCTGCCCACAACAATATCTGGTCCACCTCCACCCCCTCTGCCCACAACAGTGTCTGGTCCACCTCCACTCCCTCTGCCCACAGCAGTGATTGGTCCACTGCAGTCCATTGGCTACATGACCGTGCCTAACATGCGAAGCTCTCTGCCCTCTGACTTGACTGATTCAGGCAGCAGGAATGCAGACAACAAGTTCAACACTTGGCATGGACCTCGCCGCAAGATGCGAACCATCAACTGGACACAGATCCCCAAAACTTTGACAGGTACTGTTGTCTTTGAATGGCATATGCTGAGAGATATAGCTCTGTATGCAAATTGTGACCCTGAATGTACTGCTTTCAGGTAACTGCATGTGGACAGGCGTGGAGGCACTTCCAAAACCCGAGCGCTTGGACCTGCAGCAGCTGGAGGAATTGTTCTGCCAGAAAACTGGCAACAGTGGTGCTAAGCGGCCTGCATCTGCGCCAGCAGCACAGCCCATCGTCGTTGAGTTGAACCTCCTGGACAGCAAACGCAGTCTGGCAGTAAACATCTGCCTGCGCCAGATCAAAGGTCGTGGTGCAGCTGTCGTGAAAGCAGTGCAGGATGCATCCAGCAGCGAGCTGGGTGCAGAGAAGCTCCGAGGATTGCAACGACTGCTGCCTGAAAGACATGAGGTGCCTGGCTGTGCATGTTTACATACATACACTTCAGTGTAAAGCCCTTTGGAACTCTCTAAAAAATTCTGGACCTCACTTCTTTAAGATATATTGTGATATTATCCCTCCATCTGTGCCTAGATCATGCTAGAGGGCTCTTTCCTTCAGATTACCTGCTTCTCTCACGTACATATTATATCATCCTTGCTTCAATCATTCTGATGGATTCAAACACTGTTCCAGAATAATATGTAATGGGAGTTATTAATGGGAACTTGGCACTTTCTCCACAGCTGGAACTCCTTCTTACACATGCTAATGAAGCTGAACGCTTCGGTGCAGCAGAAAAATACTTCTACGAGCTATCCAGAATTCCAGGGTATGCTCTCCGGATGGAAGCTATGCTACAGGTGAGCATATTTACGAGTACACTTGCAGTGTTTAGCAGTTTCTATGGTTACTAGGTACTAACTCCATGGAGACAAGTTCTTCGTGAGATGCTGATAATGGTTTAGCTACTGTAACCGTACGCACCCTTCACGGAGGTATCTTATCTGTTTATGCTTGGTGATTGGGTTTGGCTGTGGAAGTGAGATGCCCCGGAGGGTTCATGGTCCTTTGAACTGGCCTTTTGTTGCGAGGGACTGAAGGGAGGTTGGTGAGTCCATTGCATTCAAGGGGGAGTAGGTATACCTTCTTTCGTCCGTGCCTGTGGGGGTGGAGGACCTGTGGATCGAAGCTTCGAGAAACTTCTAGAAGGTGTCCAGACCGGAAGGGGTCTGTGCATTTGGTCATGAAGCCCTCCCAGTGGAAAGTTCGAGATGGCAAAGAACGTGGTTTCTGGAAGCAGCAGCGGGGGTAAGGGGTCAGTCAGTGAGTAGAAGCCGAGGAGTTAGTGAGTGGAAGCCGAGGGGTCAGGGAGTAGAAGCCAGGTAGTGAGGGTGTTCCTGTGGAACCTGTGCTAGGGGGTTAACCGATCGAGCCCGCATCCAAAAAACGACGTAAGCGAGCCAACACCCGTGTACCCCTGGGATGTAAGACTCATTCCGCTGAATTTAGTCAAGGCATACACCGCATGGAAATGAAGCATGTGGGGACGGGTGTACTACTTAACGGAATTTCCTGGGTGCTTGTGGGATCTGAAGTTTCATTACCTTATGCACAAGAGCCTGCCACTGGATCCCATCCTGAGCCAGATGAATCCAGTCCACACACATATGCCCTATATCTCCAAGATCCACATTAATATTCAAATTCTAGTGGGGAGGGTCTTTGTTTCCTTGTTCATTCACCCTGCCTCTTTTGTGGAGTTATCGTGATTACATTTGGTGTAACACAGTCAGTTGACAGTTGTTAGTCTAGCTGAGTTCTGCATAGGAGGCTGTGAAGAGAGGACCTGAGTGTGTGAAGCTAAAGAATCTCTGCTGTTAGAAGCCATAGTCAGGAAATGGCTGGTGAAGATACATCAGGCTAGAAAATGAAGAGGTGGTGTTGTGATTTGTGAATTGTGGAGATTAGTGGCAGCACCATAATTACTTGAAGTTTGGAGTCATGTTTATAAGTGATCAATAAATGCATTCACCACTCCAAACCCCATCTATAGTCACACATACTGTGTGATGATATATATATGTTTCCTAATGTATTGTATGTGTTGTTCCATTGCAAGGTATGTTTAGCAGCAAATACCCCGCATAATAAGCGGAGGTTACGGAATATAATACATGAACATCTGTATGTTTGCAGAGAGAAGACTTCCCCACTCATGTGGAGGAGTTGCGGCCGCAGCTGCATGGACTAGTCAACATGTGTGACCAGTTAATAAAGAACACATCGCTCAGGGAATTTCTGACTCTTATTCTGCAGATTGGCAACTGCCTAAATGCTGTAAGTACAAGGTATCCAGGCTGGTGGATATTATTACCCAGAGAAATTTTCTTTATACCCATGCACACTGACAGGGCGGAGCAAAGAAGCCATCTGCCCCCCTCCCCACATGACTTTGGGTGAAGAAAATAAAAATTAAGAGAAGATGTAATTGTACTGAGTATTAATACCAGACATTCTGAATGGATGATTTGCATGACAAGTAAACATGTGTTCCAGGGTAGTTATGCTGGCAATGCGGCAGGCTTCAAGCTCAACACGCTGCCGAAACTGCTGGACACTAGGGCCAACAAGCCGAGGATGACATTCTTACACTTTGTGGTACAAGTTGCAGAGGCAAACAACAAAAATGCATTGATCTTTACAAAGGATCTGTCGAACATCAACAAAATTTGCAAGTATGTTCTGTGTGCATTTCAGATTACATTAATTTTCCTTTATAACTGTAACTATTTTAGAAGGATTTGCCATATACAGGCATTTACACTCTTGGAAAAGTGGTACATATAAAACAGCTCTCTCTGTGGTCACCTTCCCTTACTCAATAACTTTTATGTGAGGGGAAATTGACATGGGTTGGGCATGTGCAAAATTTTGATGTGAGATGTTGTATTGTTGCATTGTTGCACTGCACGCAGCAGAATCCTTATTGAGAAGCTAGTAGTTGCTTGGATGCCGAAGAAATTCACAGATTTTATGGGACCAAAAGGTTCATTGCTGTATTCATTATATCGCACCCCTGGCCACTATCTGAAGTGCATACAAAATTCTGGTATGAAAAACTGAACGAGAAAGACCATCTATGCCCAGATCTTCCTAATGATCTTTTTTGTTCAGTTTTTCCTACCAGAGTTTTGTATGCATTTCTCTCTCGTACCCTGCGTACCACATGCCCTGTTCTACTCATTTAATTGAAGGAGGATAAAAGATAGTTGAGTGGGTATTCCTGTTGCATCCAGAACTCAGCCACGACACTTCAGCATTTTGTAACACCTGGGTCTTCTTCTGTGGTAAGAACCAGGAAACAGAGCAGATACACGTGTACACATATGCACAGATATGAGGTACACACTGGTCTGCCAACCATAGCCCTCTGTCACTTTCTGACATTTTCATGATTTTGATTCCAACAGGATTTCCGTTGAGGGCCTGGAAGATGAGGTTCGACAAGTTGTAACAGACATCAAAGCACTGAACTCTAGGCTGAATGAAGATGGACATGGCATTCGCTCTTATTTCAAAGGTAAATTTGTTTTCCAGTGGTGGACATGATTGGACGATTGACTTCCTTTGGCATTATCCATCATCCTATTTTAATTTATAACAACATTTCATGTTTTCTTTTAAGAATTTGTTGTGCAAGTAGCACGTGACTGGTAAGTTTCTTTATTTTTTTTTATTATTCATAGTGGGGTGAGACTGAGTCCACTCGGTACTGTGGCCACTTCTGGCCTATTGTACCAGCCTCAGATGACAGGTGAGGGTCATTGTGGAGGAGCTGGTGGAATGAAAATTGATAGGGGTAATCGAAGTACTCAGAGAAAACCTACCGCAGCACCATTTTGTCCTTCACAAATCCCACATGACCAGACCTGGGCTTGAACACGGGCTGCCTTGGTGTGAGGCTGGAGAATAGCCGCCTGAGCTATGGTGCAGCTGAGCCAATGTAACCTGCATAAAACCTTGTTAAGGATATTCCTGTTGCATGGTTCAGGAAGTTGGGCCCTTAGAAAGACTGATGAAACTGATGTACTGGTGTTTGAAACAACGGTCATCAGGGCAATTTATAGCCCGCAAATGGGAGTATGGCTCATGCAGAAGCCAATGCAGTGTCAACTGCATAATTATCCCGTTGCTCTGAGAATGATTAAGGCAAGTCAACTGAGATGGGCCAGCGATCTAGCCAGAACGAGTAGTTCTGAATCTGCTAAAATATTGTCACATATTTAGAACGATCATAGGTGGGGTATGGATTGGTGAATAGCTTTATTGACCACTTACAGGTTTTAACTGCAAATAACTATAGCACTGCTGCTGATTTCCACACTACAAATCACTCCACACTAAGTCTTCTCAGTCTGCTTTCACTAGTCTTTACTTGGTCTCAGCTCTCATCAGTGGCTGTTCCCCTGCATTGTTTTCATTATAGATGTTTCATGGTAATGAATCTTAACAATGCAGATTTTCCAGCTTCTGTGCTTGCATTGTTACTGTCTGGTGAATATGCCACAACTGAACTGTAGCACCAATTGTCTTCAAGATAACTCCTCGGCACAGACCACACAGAAAACACAACCCCTCTATTGTTGTAGCAGTGTGTTTACTGCATTGTTGCAAAGCAATGGTTGCAATGCAGACCACATAGAAAAAGCTGTTCTTCTATTGTTGCTGGCTTTACCTAGTAACAGCTGCTGTTTACAGAGTCACTGCTTAGCAGCGGGTCTATCTGACATGTTACTAACAGCTGCTGTTTACAGAGTCACTGCTTAGCAGCGGGTCTATCTGACATGTTACTAACAGCTGCTGTTTACAGAGTCACTGCTTAGCAGCGGGTCTATCTGACATGTTACTAACAGCTGCTGTTTACAGAGTCACTGCTTAGCAGCGGGTCTATCTGACATGTTACTAACAGCTGCTGTTTACAGAGTCACTGCTTAGCAGCGGGTCTATCTGACATGTTACTAACAGCTGCTGTTTACAGAGTCACTGCTTAGCAGCGGGTCTATCTGACATGTTACTAACAGCTGCTGTTTACAGAGTCACTGCTTAGCAGCGGGTCTATCTGACATGTTACTAACAGCTGCTGTTTACAGAGTCACTGCTTAGCAGCGGGTCTATCTGACATGTTACTAACAGCTGCTGTTTACAGAGTCACTGCTTAGCAGCGGGTCTATCTGACATGTTACTAACAGCTGATAGGCCAGAAGGCAGTGACTTGATCGCATGGAGCAGATCTGAAAGTGTTGAAAGGCAATATCTGATGGCAGTTGTCACTGGAGAGGGAGTTCTGGAAGATGTTGTAGAAGAGACCAAGTTTCAGATTGGCTGGTAGGGCTGGGATGATGAGGTTATTGTAATTCATTCGCTTATGACTTTGCACGCCTAAAGACTTTCACAGTTCTGCACCTTCTCCGCATGCACGGTCAGTCCACTTCACAATTGGTTGCGGCCAGAGACTCTGCTTATAAACTTTCATTTAAACTCTTCAAGAACAAGATGTGTACCGTATTCTGGGATGTAATGTCGTGTAGTCCAGTAGAAGTCCACTGACATGTCCTGAGATCATACTGCTTCCATCTTCAGGGTCGAAGAGTAAGCTAAGCAAGAATCCAGCAAGAACAGGCAGAAAGCAAAAGCATAAGGACACTTCAAGAAGAAAAACTTGTGAATACTTTTACAGATCACCCCAGAGTGGTGAGTCTGGATACTGAACATAGATGCCATCACAAACTATGTTCAAGATCCTTTGGTATCAGCATTTGGTATATCTCCTTCCTTTCTTAATTTAATTTTTCTAAAAATCTAGGGTGGGAGAGGAGATAGCTGGCTTTTCTCCTGCTTGTGTTTATGTTTTCCACACTGCCTCATTATTCACATGCCAAAGAGCCGTTGGACCATATTTCCAACCCCATCATAGCATGTTTCAGTGGACATGCCGAAAGCAGGAATGTAACAGATTTGCTATATGGCTCTTTGTTAACTGGAACCCTCACCTTTTCTGCCATTTTACTCTGGAAACGTCATGTTATAATGACCTCTATATTTTGTACTGGTGTGCAACCAAGTAGCTATGGATATGCTTGCTCCCACAGAGTTTATGGAGCGAGCACTGCTTGAAGTTGGCGAGCTGCAACGAGACGTTCAGAATGTAAAGAACATGGCAGCAAGCCTTGCTCGTCACTTCTGTGAGGAGCCTGAGAAGTTTCAGCTGGAGGAGTGCTTCAAACTGTTTGCGGATTTCTTCCGCAGGGTAGAAGAGGTTCAGAAGGTAAGGAAATAAATAAATAAATGAGTAATAAACAGAAAGGACATCCAGGATAGCTCTGGCACCCATCTAGCGTCTGAAGTACATACTGCAGGTGCTCTTCATGAGGTCACAACCCCCTCTGTAGCATGTGTGGGGCTGGGCATTAAATTAATGTGGTGATGTTCTGTGCAGGAAAACGAAGAGCGCCAAAAGCAAGAGGACCGTGCAGCACAAAGAACAGGAAGAGCAAACAAATTAGGAAGTAAGAAGCCAAGCCTAAAGCCTGATAATAGTGAAGTGTGTCTGGTTGACCGACTGATGGCGGAAATACGCAGTGGAACATTTAAATTGCGACGCAGTGAAGTTTGACACTTGAGGTCATCACAGCATTTGTGCTGTTTTGGGTTGTGACACCGTGTAGTCTGGCAGGTGATTACAGACTTTTTGCAGGAATAGGCTGCATCTATCTTCAGACCGGACTACATGGTGACACAACCCAGAAGATCATAATTCAAAGCCTTGGAGGTCGATTGCTCCAGTCAGGAATTCTGGGTAGAGAAAATCATCATCAGCACATGCAGACCTCACTACAGCAAACACATGAGAGGTTAGGACTTGAGTTCTTTAGTCCTGATTCAACTTGTATGAATGTGACATTTGATCATTTTAATTTTTACTCATGTCTGTTCCAGATAAAGCAAGGTATATTGCTGTAAGGGGCCGATTCTAAGTTGGATATGAAGCAGAACTCAGCTGATAACCTGTCACTAACTGGACATGAGCTTTAATGTTTGAAGTACTCCAACAAAGTGCAGACAGGTCACATACTGTTGTGGACAGTCAATTGCATTGCCTTGAAATCTGCAGTAACATTTATGAAGTCTTAAATGCCTGGTAGGACACTAAAATGGGGACTTTAACTCATTATACAGTTAAGATTATGTAATATCTTCCCGATAGTTATAGATTTGATCCCTGTTCTAGCTGATCATCCTAAGAGGATACTCTAATCTGATTTCCATTCTCTGTTGTTCCTGTTTAGGGGCAGATTGTTGATGCCTTTCACCACCAACTTCACAAATTTACCATCTTGTTATGATCACAATCAGAGTTCTGCATTATTGCTCTGATGCCCTTTGACATCTCTGCTAGTAGTTTGCATATATCACCAACAGATGCCAGGAGTTATATGTATTTCCTGCTGTCAGCATATGTTCACACCATGTGTGCGACCTTCTCCTGCACCTGATAGAAGTGAGAGTGAATATAAAAACAATGGATAGGGGTTATGGATAGATTTTTTTAACAAACATTTTGCTAATGTGAAATGCTTGACAGTTTTTCTCCATTGCTGCGTTGTGGAGTTTTACTTGTGGTTTGGATAGTCTGCATCAGACTTGAAGCTAGTGTTACACATAATGTTTATGTATATAGAATCTCATTAGACATTGTGTGAATTGTAAATAGTATATATTATGTGAAGTGACTGACTAATGAACTCTGTTTTGTAGGATAGACATACTACTTATGGACCAATATGCATGGACAGTTTATGTTCATATTGGCATACAAAATGTGAGACAGTGGGATAATCAGAAATACACTTCCATATCTTAAGTCTGAATTATAAATCATGTTTTGTACCTAACAGAATACAGCAAGTTGACACTGAGACTGAGGAAGATGATGAGTGTGAGGCTAGACCAGGCTTAATTTCCTGTATCATGAAGTGAACAAGAAATATACAAAGTCTCAAGTAAAGCTGTATTTTTACAGATATATCCAAGGAAGTCATTTTTGGTGGTCATTGCTACTTGGCAGCGGTAGGGTTTTGAGTGTTGTGTGATCTAGGCTAGCCTACAGAATACTGTGACATTTGCACTTGATATTCCAGCTGTGATAATACAGTGTGACACTCTGGGTGTGGTTAGGCAGCACAAAATGCAAATGAGCCAAAGGGTGAAATAGGGTTACATATCCCCAAATTTTAAAACATTTCATTTGAATGAAGTTAGTTTAGTGCTTAGGTTGGGGTTTTAGTGTGGTGCACTGCTACCTACATCTCTTCTCTGGTACTTCAGCAGGCCCACTACATTGTTGCGCTACCATGTTGCCAGCGTATGAGAGTGGAAGTATTAGAAGTACAGTTGTCATTTTATTCTAAAGGTGTGACATAATGTTTCTTTGGGATTAGTGATGTGAGGTCGCTTGGACAGTGTGGACATTGCACTGAGCTCTATAATTCAAATGGTGATGACTTCGAAAACCTGTGAAACCTTCCTTCAAATTTATGAATTTTTATCCTACATCATAATTTGAATCTTTGCCAGTGTGAGTTCTGTTCAACGTGGGATCCATATAAGCTTGCAGGAGCGAATGTGGGATGGAGTCATTTTGACTTGGTGAAGTGACCAGATGCATAGAAAGCATTCCAAGTATGCGGTACACCTGCCAGATTTCTGCATTTATGTTGTGTACAGAAACCGGCTGTCCCACAGTTGAGGTGATTTGACTCTGGTTTCTCACTATGAATCCTTTGGTTCAGTCCCAGGTGGTGGCTTCATATGAGATGGACAGTGATTTTTCACTGCTAATCATCATTCTGCCATTGCTCAACACTCATCAATCACCACTGTTGAAGGTGTATGATAGCACAGCGTCATATCATCTGTCCTTGAGTATGGGGCTTCATCTCTGGCTTGGCACTTGGCTGCTTACAGAGTGGGGAACTGAAGTTTATGACTTTTCATGAATTAACAGCATGAGGAAGAAAATGAATTCCTGATTCATACAGCTAACAGTCTAAGATTGGTAATAGAAGTGCCTACATTCAGTTTCTTACATGTTCACTACCAGTCCCATCACCTGAAGGTTTAAAGTCCATCAGGTGCCAGTGGTGATCCTGTCAAGTAATGGGCTGTTCTCGCTAACTCTCCTTCCTACTGATGCCACGAAAATGCAGTGTGCCATAGCTAGGAATAGTCAAAATATACAGCAGTTGTCAGTTGTTCTTTCCTGTCCTCTTGTGTTTCCATCTTGAATGTAGTTCAGAACCCAGTTTTGTGTAAAGGAAGGCTTGCCTATCAGGAAAATTGCTATGTGGGGGCATGGCAATGGGTGGGTGGAAATGGTATGAATGAATGTATAAGGGGTGCGCCTTCTTGGCCCTTGCCCCGCAACCACAGTGTTCTATTGTGCCTCACGGTTGAAATGGTAAGCCATTCCTTGTAAACATAAAATGAATGACATTAGTGTGTAATATGTTTTCACAGCAAGCAGTTTTAACATGTAAGTATCTGAAATGTTTTTATATGCATCTGTAATAGTTTAATAGATTAAAGTGTTCAAAAAATACATGAATTTGTAATTTTAGAAGCAGTCTGTTGAAACAGTAAGCTCATGGCAAAAATTAATGATACCTTTTCCTTTATCAATATAGAAAGTAAGCTGTATTTATAAACTATCAGTTTCCATTGATAGTGGAGTGGACTGCAGTTTGATATTTCCGTTTTGAATGTGAACCAGAGCGAGCTGGGATAGTGTAGCATAGCGAATGGCTACAGGCTGGATGACCAAGGGGTCAGTAAGGTCAAGAATTTTCTCTTCTCCACATCTTTCAGACCGGCTCTGGGGCCTACCCAACCTCCTATCCAATGAGAACCAGGGTCTATTTCCCCGGTGGTAAAGCGGCCGGAGCGTGAAGCTGACCATTCACCTCCAACTAGTACTAAGATGAAGAAAATGTGGATCTATACATCCACTACCCCGTACACCTTCATGGCGTAGTGCTTAATTAGTTAAGCACAGGGACAACTTTACTTTGAACCAGAAGCCCAAGTAAGTGGACTGCCTTTCTTGTATGTTTGAATTTGTTAGGGTACATTAGCTTTTGTGTTCATTATTCCCATACTTGTTATACCCATTATCAATGCATTTTTTTAACAGCATGGATGACAGTACTTTCATATTTGGTTTTAGCCTCAAGGTTGAAACATAAAATACGCTGATGTATAATTTCTAATTTTTAAAAATGTGTTGGTCTAAATCAGCTATTTGCCAGTATATGTATCAGGAGAAGTGCAAGTTATATGAACCCAATACACACACCTATATATATATTTGAGATCTTAAAGAAATATGAAAGCAGGGTACAGAGTGGATTTCTCTGGCTCAGGATAGGACTCAAGAGTAGAAACTACTGAGCATGGTAATGAATTTTGTGTTCCTTAAATGGCAGGAAACTTGTTGATTAACCAAGTCATCATTAGTTCCTAAAGAAGAATTTTACTTTGTGGATTTAATGGTTATTACCTGCAAACAACAAGGATAGAGGATGAGTTACTATTGGATGGTAGATCCTTAAGAACCAGAAGAAGAAGTGAACAAATAGAGAATCTTTAGGAACTCCCCAGATACAAGAAATATTTTTGAGTACTTGGAGATTTAATGGCAACCCTTTGTCCTTTGTTAGATATAATGGAAACCACATCTCTATTCCATTATGACTTATGCAGTACATAAGGTTTTTACAGCAGTGATCATGATTAGTGCCCTGTGGGTCATGATGCTATGTAGTCCAGTAGAAAGTTATGAATGTCACTTGGAGAATAATTTGTGTTATGAGAATAGTTTGCTGCATATCACTGCCTCTTGACAGGAAAGGACAGTAGAAGGGTGGACAAGAGTGTGGCTTTTCAACAATTTTTGTACTTTGTAATACACATATCAAGTGACTGATATGAAGGTCACTCTTTTTAGATTATATTATTATTTAATACAAATACTACTTTTAAATTCGGTGGACAAGTAATCAAGAGGCCATAACCAAAAAAACTATGGGATAAACCTGCCCGATTGCCACTTTGTCCACCATAACTTTCACGTGAAGTTAGAAGGGATTGAACCGTTCAGCTTAACAGTGAGAAGCCATCGCGTTCGTACCTGAACTTTGGCACCACTCCTACTCGGTATAATTGAAATTAAATTTACAGACCGAATGGCATCAGTGTACACAGCCAATTGTATTTTAATAGAGGTATATTCAGTTTAAACGAGGGACGTTTCTATCCGATGTGGTATACTTCCAGAAATGCATTGGCTATCCTGATCCTGATGGTAGAACTTTGCCGAACTTGTGTTTCAGACGCAATAGAAGTGCAATAGACTGTTGTGGTCGTAGTGGGACGTAGTGCTCGTAGTGGTTGATCTGTATGCGGTTTAGGTGCATGGGTTGTTGCTCGTTATTTGGAGCAATAGAAAATTTGCGTCTTTATTAATATAATTACATAAATTAGATAAGTAAAATGGCTGACGATGAGTTTGATGGTGACGAGTAAGTGAAATATACCTCCTAATTCGTTCTTTAAACTGAATAAATGTTCAGTTTGATGTTATTCACGTGATGATAATTATTATTGTCTATGTAGTGAACGTAGTGAAGGTTGTAGGACGTAACATGGTAGTTGCAATATTAATTGTGAACGTTCTTTCCCATAGTGATTTTAGGAAATAACATTCAGATTTCTTGCCATTAAAGCCCAGACTTCATTGAAATAATAACATGCAATGTAAACGTGAATCGTAATCATTCATAAGAATGCGACTGTGGGAATAGTGTAACTTTGTTTTCGCCAGTTACAAAATGTATGATTTATTCTCGCGTTCATACCATAAAAGAATTTCAGTCTCTTGTACAGTTTTGGTTTTAAACGTAGGGTTTGTTCGTAAGTTTCATCACGTTTTGTTTTTAGGTCTTTTTCCAAACTATGAGACCTTTCATTCATCACGACTATGAAGTTTCTAATACTTTAGTTTTCATTTATATTGGGCCTAAAAAGCATAAACAAAAACATATGCAGTAGAAGCAGGAACAACTATGAACTGAAAGGTCATTTCATATAGCAAAAGCTTTGCTGGTGTTACTAACGAAGACAGGTGCCAGTGTTACAGGAGACAAATTGAGGATTCATATGACAAAATGTGTTTGAAACACTGCAAAGAGAGTGATTTGTGAAGTATCATCTAATTATGAAATAAGTCGGCAGAAAGTAAAATGAAAGATTCCCTAACAGTTGTTGACGCTTTCCAAAAGTTATTTTTTTTTAGTAGTTGCTGAAAGTATTTCAGTTGATGGAAACTGAATTTTCTGAAGCTTTGAAATGATGGTGTGTAATAGTGGTTCTCAACCTTTGTGAGACAGCATCCTGCTTTTTTTTTTTTATCAGATGAGGACCCAGCAGTTGAGAAATACTCAGAATTAGTGGGTTTATGGACTTTTTCGTCCAGTATTCTAATAACTAGAGCGCACAGCGCCTCGCGAACTTGCTCAGCTGAGTGGGGACACCTGCTCTGTTGCGACTCATAGAAAGAGCTTAGAAACAGTAATCCAGTGGCTGAGGTTAGCTCTTTCTAAGGGACCCAGCAGAGTAGGTGTCTCCCCCAACATCTGAGGACAGAAACAGATTCAGTTTCTGAAATGTTGTGTTCTGTAGTTTTTAGAATACTAGGCAATAGATGAAGCCCAGAAGCCTCGTAATCCTGACTTTCTAAGTATTACTTGTGTGAATTGAACCAATGCATTATGGGTTAGTATGTCTTGATGGAAGATGTCCATCTCTCCTGTCTTGAGTGCAGAGGGAGTCCCTCCACTTGCCTACTTCTTTTTATGTTTTATCCTACTAACTTAGGGGCACATAGTAGCTACAAGCTGGAAGGTTGTGGGTTCAACTCCCGTCGAGGCTCCCACATTTCTACACAGTCAGCTCACAGATGGTGGTGAGGTTGTTAGCCCTACGGGCCGGCAGCCCCTTACCTCCAGGAAGATTCATGGTGCTCATTTCTGTTAGAGGCTGAGTCGATCCCAGGGCCATAGTGCCGCTGGAAGGATTAGTTCAATTGAGAAATCCAGTAATCTCATCGGGAATAGAACCTGTGACATTCTGGCTTGTAGCATAGTGCCTAAACCATATATTTTTGTATATGGCTAGTGTACCAATTTTGTGGAATTTGTGTGTAACCATTGACCAAATTGATAATGTGCATATTTTGCGTGTACTGTCATTTTAGCAACTTCTGAATGTACTGTGTGATTGTTAGTAATACAAGTATGTGTAGCAACTGCCCACATTCAAGCAGACATTACAGTGACAGCTCAGGTACCATTGCTTAGCAACCGTGAGTAAACAGTCGTTGCTATGTAAGGTCTGCAAAAATATGTGACATATGCTAGCCAGTCACAAGCTAGAAACCATTCGTTGCCTAGCAACAGCTGAGTAAACAGCCAGTGCTAGGCAAAGCCTGCAACATTATGGACAGTGACATGTTTTCTGTAGGTCTGACTCTAGATTATATAAGAAGATACATTGAGTGGAAGTTCACAGTTCTAGTTCAGAGTTGTGTTTCAGTACAGCTTTCAAGGTGTCACAGAGTTCACTATTATTATTCAGTTTTTCAAATTCAAGTTCCTCTGTGTATACTGTGTAACTATAATAAATATTATAGAACAGTTGAACAAGTGGTTCTCTCTTCATGTAATGACATCTCACATTGGTGACCATGATATGATCTTGGGTGCTCAGATGATCAGGTGTGTTGTGGTGTACTGCGTTTTTCGGTTGACTGTGATTTCTTTTGCTGAGGCCACGGAGGGAATTCCTGTGGATTAAGCCTCTCCATGCTCCCCCTACTGTAACACTTCCCCCAGGATAGTGAGGCTGTGGCGATTACAAGAGTAGGGAGAAGGGGGAAAGCCTGGAGCACCATCATCCGCCCAATCCTGGGAACATTTTCCTGTGCTCTTAGTGTTTGTATGTCTCTCTCTATCCATATTTTACATCTGTCTACCTCTCTCTCTCTCCCTCTGTTTGCTCATGCATCTTTTTGTCTGTTTGCCTCTCATTCATTTACTTGTCTGTCCAGTTGTCTTTCTGTCCGATGGCCTGTTGACCATATCGTCTGTCCATCATGTGCTGTGATGGAATCACATACAGTTCCAACTCAGCATCACAGCTGATGTTTCATATGGAAGGAACTTAGACGTTAATTATGTTTGTTATTTGCAGTTGAAATGTACCCAATTTTGAAGCAGATGTCACACTTTCCATTACAAAGTTGAAGCTGTCTTTCCTCACAGGCAGTTTACATGAGGATTGTTCATATGAAGTCCATTTTCATGTTTGGCCTCCTCAAGAATGCTGTAAGGGCCCACAGATTTGGTTTGACTGAAGTTGTGCAGTGGTTCTGGCAGGACCGCAGGAAGTTTTGTTTTTACGGAGGGTATCCGTCATATGGTGTGTAATGGGATGCCTGCGTCAGTGCTTGCAGGGACGCTGTTTAGTGGCCTCTGCTCCTTGACCCAGTTCAGTCCCAAAATGGGTTTCCCATTTGAGAAAGCCTAACAGTAGCTAAGAATGAGTTACAGGTTGGATGTGATGTTCGTCCTTGAACTCTCAGGATGGTTTGCAAGTTTAGTGCCTCGCTGTATTCATTGCAGTACTTGGCCTGGTTGCATGTGTATGTAAGTGCTGTTGTCTGTGTTGTGTTCTAGCGGTGGAGATGACTTCGAGGAAGTGGACGAAGATGAGAACCTTGATGAGCTTGATCAGCAGGAGGTGAGAACATTTCGCGGATTCCCACTTTTTATGGTATATAGGTACCCCAAATTTTGGTGCCGTGCATGTCGGTGCAGTCAGGACTGCATGGGTTCAGATCCCAGCTTGGAGACTTCCTGTTCTGACCAAGATTTGTGTGGGTTTTCTTGTTCTCTCCAGACATAAGCTCTGATAGTACCACAGAACAGGTCATGACCGGTTCCTTCCATTTCATTATTTTCTTGTGTGGTGATACAGCCTAGAGTTACTGCTGGTGTCATTGCATAAACCATAAATAACAAAAATAACTGACTTCATATGCAGGGTAGTTCCCTCTGGGGTGTGATGCCCTCTAATCTGATAGTTCATGAACATTTGAGGAATGTACTGCCTCCATCTTCAGGGTTGGAGGAGAAGTGAAGCAAGCAACCAGCAAGAAGCAGAGTGAACCATCAGTTAATTTTTACCAGGAAGCACGGTGTCACATCCCAGGAGATGATACTCCTGCATGGTAGCATACCCATGAGCGGTCACATAACTCCTTAACTCAAAATTTTTGTTTCTCCTTTGGTGTTACCACCTTTAATTTTTTGTTGAAAAGTAAGTAAATGGTTTAACAGAATGGTGTTTGTTTCAGCTGTTTATGAATCCCATTTTTTTAAGGCTAATAATTTTGTGTTGGATTCAGGGTTCTTACGGTGGTGACTGTGACGAGTGTTTCTACCTAACTGCAGGGATTGAAATTCGAGAAGTGCTCTTTGTATGGTTTAGTAATTTTTAGTGTTCATTGAAAGAAAATTGCATAATTTGGGTGAAATCTGTATTTTCAAGAGCAGAAAAGAATCATATCTCAGAATGGAGCGCCATGTTAAGTATAAAACTGCAAGTCACAGAACAATATTTATAGACATTTTGCAGTGTTGCATTGTGTCCAGTAGCCACATATTAAATCAAATATTTTTCTGTTCCATGATCTTGTCCGACTATCAATTTGAAGGACAGGCTTACTGAAATATGTTTGTCTCCTGAATACACATAGAGTTCCAGTGTTGGAGGTACCATTCAGTTATGTGTACCACAAGATCTATGCATATAATTTCAGAAGCTGGCATGTCAAATGCATGCATAGAAACAGATTTGTGATGCAGCAGCTCTTCATCAGTTGCAATGTTGGTAACCATGGATGTCAAATATGAGCAGTTTACCATTTATGTACAGTCTCTGCAGTTTTGTTTTGTAGTTTTCAATGCGCATGCATGCAGAAGCAAGCAGAGAACATTTGCTGGGGATCGGGTTACTATGGCATATATGTCCAGTTTCATAGCTTCCTAATGATTGTAGGTGTAGTATTGTGAGAGCTTTGTATAGTTTGAATCTAATATTGTATAATTTTGTATTTTTTTGTGCATAGTGTGGTAACAGACAACTTATTTGTACTTTGATGAATGTTAGCAGCCACAGTTCCCCTAAACCCTGACTTCCTGTAAGGCCTAAGTCCTGCCAACTGTGGTTTTGTGAATCACTGTATTTTTATGAACATGGTCCCTACATAAAGTTGGCAAGTGATACCCATATTTGTGTCTCATATAGCAAGTAAGGTGCATGAAGTCTTCAGTGCTTGAATGAGTTTCATTTGCTAGAATGAAGTTTGTTGAAATTTTGAGCGTAGTGGTTAAGGTACTATGCTACAAGCCGGAAGGTCATGGGTTCAAGTCTCAATGAGGTCATTGAATTTTTTTCAATTGACCTAATCCTTCTGGCCGCACTAGGCCCTGGGGTTTACTCAGCCTCTAACAGAAATGAGTACCAGGAATCAATTAAATAATTTTCCTGGGGAGTGAAGCATGGCCAGCGCGTAAGGCTAACAACCTTACGGCCATCTTTAAGCCGATTGTCAAGATAATATGGGGCCCTTAACGTCTCACAACACTATGGGTCTTCACGGCCTCTTACAGGGATAGCTTTACTTTACTTTTTTTTACTACACACCTTTGCCCCCTGTGACTTCAGGTATGTGCCTTGCTGTTTGGAATTCTTGTCTTAAGATTTCAGAGAGTTCATTTATGTAGTTTACACATACCTCCTCTTGACAGGGGAAGAAAATAGTGATATTTTTAAATTAACAGAGAGAATCGTTTGAATTTGACATGTTCTCTGTCATGTTTGCCAGCAGTGTCTGAATCAGACCTCTGGCTTTTGGCAGGGCATTCGCACTGTCTGTTCTGCAGTGCCACTATCATGACAGCATGCTGTCTGTAAGGAAATATGTCTGCCACAGGTACCGGAAGACACACCTCTGATAATACACTTTTTTGCCCCTTAGGTTTTCACTGCCTGTACAGTCTGTAAGTTTGGTTTTTGGGAAAACGTTTTGGAATTCATTGCAGTTGGCATCTTCAGGGTCAGTGAGGTGGAAGGGCTATGTGGATGGTACTTGGATCTCAGTGGGAGGAACGTCAGGCCATTTCTACTGCCTATTGGATACTGCCGTGTTGCTCCCACTGTAGAGAGTTGCACCACCCAGTGCAGGAGTGGCCATTGCCACGAATAATACACAGAAAGGGAAAATGGTAGCAGAATTTTGAAGTGATGCAGCTGTAAGGTACCGCAGTGACAGGGTTGGCAACACAGAAAGCAGTATTACAGTGCCTGGGGATCTTCCAGACACAGACTGGTTGCGCCATGATGTATGTCAGCGTAGCACCAGCAGCCTCCAATGCAGAGGCCACCACAAAGACAGCCAGTAACAAAGTAGCATGAACAGAGCGATGCCCAGTAATTACAGTGAGCAGAAATGGGAGACAACTGGTTTTCATGGTGTCATGAAAAAATTAAGAGCCCATTTTCACTGTGCATGCAGCACACTTACTTCTCTGAGGGAGCCAGCAAGCAGTGCTGGTCAGTATATGGTCACCAAACCCCAAAAGCCAAAGTTACACATGCACATCAGTCTAAAAATGATGTGTGTATCATTATATGGTCTGGGGCAAATAAATAAAAAAATCCTGATGGCATTTAATGTTGATTGCTTTATTTGGCCTTCAGTTTTATAGTTTAAAATGTATTGTTCCAATCACATAAGAACAAACTGTACAAAAACGATATACATAATACAGTTTGTTACTTAATATTCAAATTTGGGGAAGAAACTATTTCCAACAAGTGTTGTTATTTCTGGCAGGATGAAGGTGAGAATATTGACATCCTAGCGGCTGGAGATGCCCGAGGTGGGGTGCAGAAGTCGAAGAGAATCACCACTCGGTACATGACCAAATATGAGCGAGCACGTGTGTTGGGAACGAGAGCGCTGCAAATCGCAATGTGTGCGCCAGTGATGGTTGAGTTGGAAGGCGAGACCGACCCGCTGCAAATCGCTATGAAGGAGTTAAAGCAGCGTAAAATCCCAATAATAATCCGACGTTATTTACCAGACAACAGTTACGAGGACTGGGGAATAGATGAATTGATAATTATTGATCACTAAGAATCAGACGTGCAGTCATGTATTGTCTCCTGTCCTGTACGTGTTCTTTTGAATGTGTGTTAAATGTTGATATGTAACATATGGGCTTGAACTTAAGTATTAAAAGTTTAATTTTAGCTAAATGTTGTATGTGTAATGTTTTATGGATTCTGAGCCAATATTTAGGATTCTCAGGTAAAATCGTTCTTGTGCTTAACTGAACACAAGGGCATGAAGAGCAGAGGTGGAGCTTCATACATACTTGATTTGGGCCTTGGCTGAAATGGAGTAGATGCCAGGGCTGACAGTGCCCTGAGAGGTAACAACCGTACCTGTCATGATGCATGTAACTGAAAGTTCCCAGACTTTCATTGTAATGATTGCCTTTATCATATTTGTCATATCCCTGGTCTCATTACTGCTCTGGAGTACTGCCTATTTGTGATAAGCCATTCAGTTCACTTTCTTGTCACTAGATGAAGGTGAGTTGTCAGCTTCACTCCTGGTTTGCTGTTCTCCTGTGGAAGGAGTCCACAGTTCTGTTAATCTGGTAAGATATTCTGGTACTAAAATTGTTTCTTCATGAAATGATGGTAATTCCATGCACCAGAGTCCTTCTTGAGAAGCTAATAGTTGCTCAGCTACTAAGAAAAGTCCCATCATTTTACAGAACCCAGAGATTCATGACTGTCAAATAGTTCTGTCTTCTGGGATTCAGTTGCATGTAGTCTGTTGAAAGCCGACTGACATTTTGGTTGAACATGTCTCTTCCATCTTCAGGTTTGAAGAATAAGAAAGCAGGAGCAAGCACAGTAAAACATCGGTAGATTTTCAGCGGGCTACATGCTGTTATATTCAAGAAAACCGCCACTCTGAGGTCGTCACATCCTGCTTTTATAACTGCGTTCACAAGAGCTCTCCCCTCACCGGTTCCTCTACAGAGCCAAATTAATGCAGTCCACAACCTCCCATGCAGTATCTCGAAAATCCATTTTTAATATTGTCCTCCCATCTATGCAGAGGTCTTACTAGTGGTCTACTTCCTTCATGTTTTCTACCAAGGCGTTGGATACACGTCTCCTTTATGCATGCCACATGCTTCACCCATCTGTCCCTCCTTCATATGATCATCCTAATAATATTTAGCAAGGAGTACAAATTATGAAGCTCTTCAAGGTGTGGTTTTCTCCACCCTTTTGTTGCATCCCTCTTAGATCCAAATATTCTCCTCTTTCCTTATAATAAGAGACCCAAATCCGTACAGAACTGTAGGCAAAAGTATAATTTGTATGTTTTATTAATCTTTATGTTCTTAGATAGCAGATAAGAAGACAAACATCAAGACCTGAAGACGGAGGCAGCCTGCTTCTGCAAAACATTGGTCCCCATGTGGAAGACATGAAGGTGAAGGCAGTATGTCCCCTGAAACATGGGTACCCACCTGCCACATTACGCAGGGGTCTCACAGTGCGAACACCCACCACTGTGAAAAAATCAGAGCTTGCTTACGAATATGTTTTTGTGGATTTCATACAAAAGGATCAGTTTTGCACAGTTGGAAAGTGAAATGGTTGATTTAGACTCAAGGTACTGGGTTTAAGTGTGGGGCGGGACACCAACTATCCTGACTGATATTTTTCTTGGTTTTCTCAGTCCCTCCAGGCAAATCCTGGGGTAAAACCTTGATTAGGCTATGACCACTTCCTTCCATATCTTTTTCCAATTCATATATCACCCTGCTGTCTGGACACTGAAAGCCTTGTTAAATACCCCATTGGAAAAAAAAATAAAACTTAAAGCTATCCCTGTACCAGGCTGTGGAGGCCCGTAAGGTTGTGAGATGTTGAGGCTCCCACATTTTCTAGACAGTCGGCTCACGGATGTTGGTGAGGTCAGCCTTATGCACCAGCCGCCCTTTACCCTCCAGGAAGATTCCTGGTACTCATTTCTGTTAGAGGCTGAGTCAACCCCAGGGACACAATGTAGCTGGAAGGATTAGGAGAATTGAAAAATCTGGTGACGTAATCGGGAATTGAACCTGCGACCTTCCAGCTTCAAGCAGAGTTCCTCAACCAACTGTGCTATAGTGTGCTTCTAAATACCCCATAGAAAGGTAAACAATGTAAAGAGGTAAGGAAAGGGAGCACTCGCAGAAAACAGTGGTTATTCTTGTGATCAGTGAGAAGTGTGTGAGGGCTGGCTTGCAACCTGGAATAGTTCATTGTATGGACGAATGTTTCTTCCTGATCGATTCCCTGAAAGAGCGGAGGGAAGTCTCCAGTGACAAGACACACCCGCTCCTGGCCATTGAAAGAGCAATTTCTCACTTTCGTTAGCAGCATCAATGCTTTAAAGAGCTGGATTTGTGAGCAGCCTAACAGTGGTGATTATTTAGAACACTGTCTTGTGTGATGCGGCGCCATATAGTCTGATAGGAGTTCGAAACGGTTTGGAGGAACATAATTTCCCAATCTTCAGGGTCATACCAGCAGAATGAGCCGCAGTTAGAAAACCTGAATTAAATATAGGCCCATGGAGGAATTCACAGATAAGCTGTGGGACCCAGGAAAGAAGTAATTAGTGTTGGCCCGGTATAGGCTGCATTTGCGAAGTGGGGAGATGGGAGAATGGGGGGGGGGGGGGTTACGGATGTATGCAGAGCAGTGCTTGCTTCTTGCATATTCTTGGCTTACTCTTCAACCCTGAAGATGCAGTGTTCCCGCAAAATGTCGATGACCCACCAGACTACACGGCGTCACATCGCAGCACATACTGTTCCTTAAAAGGGGCAATTTTTTTTACTATCCGCAGTTGCTGTTGGCCACGATAGGGCTCTTATGTTGTCTTCCCTTTCCAGGGTTCCAAGTGACTCCTGTCCTTGTCATGTTGCTTATATGGCCTGACCCACTTCTACCATGAAGATGGAGGCAGCTTGTACCTCCAGAGCCTTGGTATCCGTCTACAAGATTACGTAGGGTCACAACCTGGAAGACTGCAGTTTGAATGAGTATTTTGTTGTATGAGATTTGATTCTGACTGTAGTCACTGTTACCTGAGGTGCAACAGGTTCAGAGTTCAGTACCAGTTTAGAGGTGGCACCAAGCGACTGTTACGGTTTGTGCTTTGATGTGAGTGTATTATTATTATTGTTATTATTGGAGGGGGTGGGTTTCCCCATGCACCGCGACTAATAGTCTATTGTACGTCCCCCTTTGATATTCTACCAGTCGCCATACCCTGCCGGTACTGGTGCTCGCTATTAGCTCGTTCAGCCAGCGAGGCTGGCAGTGGTACCCGATAACTTCCCCATCTACCGGAGGCATTGGAAACTACTTGGGCGGGAAACTTTGCCTAATTTTGCTCAGAGGTCTCCTAGAGACATGAGGATCTTTTACATGCCGTAAATCTACGACGCGGGACCCACGGCTTAAAGTCCCTCCCGGAGGACTTGTTCCCTGAATTTTTTCACCCTTAAAAATTCCACGACCTCCGCCGGGTTTGAACCCGCGTACCTTGAGTCATGAGGTGGGAACGTTACTCCTAGACTACGGAGGCCGCTGATGGGAGTGTAAGGCAGAGGTTTTCATCTGGCTGCCTGAAAAATGGTTACTGCCCAAATTAAATATTTTACGTATAATTAATCAAGAATTGCAGAAGACCGTTGCTTGAGAAGTCGGTCCTCTCTGGCCTAGTGAAAATTCCCTTCATTACTATGTTCACAAAATGACTGTAAGTACCATTCGGAACACAAATACACTGTGGGCAGAATGCAGGTACATATAGTTACCGCTGTGCTTTAAGGGGTTAAATGGTTTTTGTACTTCCTCTCTTCTTGTTTCACCCTGAAAACTTGGGTGACAGCAGTAGGGGGAAAACCGTGGGTCCTCCATCTGGCATCTAGGTTAAAATACGTGGAACGTTTTCTCCGCTTTCCCCCATACGTCTTTGTAGGCTGGAGCTTAAACATGGACAGCTTTATGTTTGGGTTCCAGAACTCAACGAATTGGTTCATGAGTTGAAAGAGTAACATTTCTGAAGCGAGACCTTGTACCATGGAACCGTGCTCTGTATTAAACATCACTGAGATTTGCGTCATCACGAGAGAGTGACGTACTTCATTACGCTATCATTTGAAATTTATTACATTCTGACTTTGTACCATGGAATGAAACTCTGTCTTTAAAATATCTTGGAGGTTGCGTCTTATCAGATAGTGGCCTGGAACAAGATAGTACTTACTTACTTATGGAGCTGAACCCTTCCTGAGGAGAAGCCAAATCTGCAGCTACTCAAGACTTTCCCAGCATTTTATGGAACCCGAAGGTTCATTACCGTGTTCGCAACGAGCCTTCCACTGGTCCCTATCCTGAGCCAGATCAATCCAATCCATACCATCCCATCTAAGATCCATTTTAATATTGTCCACCCACCTACGCCTTGGTCTTCCCAGCGGTCTCTTTCCTTCTTGCTTTCCCACCAATATCCTACATGCATTCCTTTTCTCCCCCATTCGTGCTTGACAGTACTATTAGAAATTTGCTAGATTCAGTGGGAACCAAAATTGCCGTACAGGAAATTTCGTTGAACGAACAGGGACATTTCTTCCGCAAGGTTGCCTGCTCAATGTGTGACGTACCCTCAGAGATGTTTTAAACACAACGTAAGTCTGTCAGACGTGTTAATGAGACAGAACACGCGAAGGTACTGTTGCTTCCCAATATGTACGGTAGCCACGCTCAAACATCGCGGTACAGTTTCTGCGGTTCGATTCTAATCCTCGTTCTCAATCTTTTATTTACCTTTTAATTACATAAGTAAATATTACTCTCTTACAGTGAGCCCTGTTGCTGTAAAAGTTTTATTCACTATATACTGTGATGACAAGGAAAACAACCATATCCCGGACGAAGAACGGGTACTCCTACTTGTCCTGAGCCTAATAATGACGCACGGTCTGGGCGTGCCCAGCCCCTGTTTACCTGTCGAGCCACGCGTATCACCGTCTGGCCTTGTACCTAGCATGTAAACGCCAGACGGGTAGCAACTGTTTGGCGCCAGGGAGGGCAACTGATGTATTGCGGGCAGTCGCACGAATACTTGTTCAGGGAAACACTTTGCTTCGCATTCGGGAAGTCCTGGGTTCCAGTCTCGGCCAAGACACCCGCTAATTGTTTCTTGTCCTGGTAGATGTTGGGATAAAAGGTAAAGTCCCTGAATGCGTATGGGGGAGTGGGACTGGTTGGAGGTGAGTGGTCATCTTAACGCTCCGGCCGCTTCATCCCTGGAAAAGCGCCCACGGTACACATTGGATAGGAGGCTGGGTGGACCCCAGAGCCGGTCTGGGCGATTGGTGAAGTGAAAATTCTCGACCCTACCGGGACTCGAACTCCGACCCCCGGATCGTGCAGCCCCTAGCCGGTCGCTATATCGACTGCGTTAATCCGGCTCCCCACTTACAGGTCATAACTACAATTAATTAAAATACTGTTACTGATTTTCACATTACAAAGTACTCCACGCTAATCTCTTCAGTCTGTCTGCACCAGTCTTCACGGATTTATATCACAGGAATTGTAAAAGTCTCCCGGTATCACTGCACTACAGCACACATAAAGTCTTCAAATCACACGTTAAATTTTGTACTCTTCTGTACTCATCCAGCTCACTGCTTGCTTGCTTGTTCGCGTGCTTCTCCCACTGCTACTCACTGCCTTGAACGAATTCTGTCACTCGTACTTGCACAGCCGCGGAACGGACATGGACCTACAGTAAACACATATCATGTGATCGCTAGCCAACAAGGCTATTGGCGCGGCTGTCGGATCTACAAAAAGCACAGCTTTCTCTACTGTTGCGTGTTGGACCGTGTTTACAGAGCTGTTGCCTGGCAACGCGTTGATCAAATCAGTTGCAATACGGGCATTAGCTGGAGGCGGCAACGGTTTTTGCAAATATTTCCGTGACCGTACAGGAACAGTTTATAAGCTTGCTGTAGGTGTAGAGAGGCTGTAAAGCTACAATTCATGTTCCTGCTGTCACCGTACAGTCTGGTAGGAACCTGCAACAGTATGCAAAACTGCACTTCTCACTCACCGGCAGAGGCGGGGCCTGCAGTAAATTTGTGTGTTATTCTAGGGGATCGCGGTATTGTGAGGACCCCTGTTCTAGAGTTTATATAAAGTGGCTCATTAGGAGTTGGCGATTTCAGTCTGAAAATAATAATGCACCACGAGAGTTTAGATCAGTGGTTTTTAACCTGTGTGCCCTGAGATTTTGTCAAACGCTTTGACCGTAAGAATAACTAAATAAAACGAAATATCCAAACTAAAAAACTGTAATAGTTAATGTGATATCATTATCCGCCAGTAGTTCACACTATGTAACGTTGAGTGGTACGGTGACTAGTGTATAATGGAGTTGAAAGACGTTTTCTTAGTTAGTTAAAGCATAACAACAGATAAGGGGCACGCGGTAGCGTAGTTGGTTGAGGCACTATGCTGCAAGCCGGAAGGTCGCGGGTTCGATTCCTAATGAGGTCATTGAACTTTCTAAATTGACATAAACCTTCCGGCCGCACTATGGCCCTTTAGTTGACTCAGCCTCTAACAGAAATGAGTACCAGGAATCTTCCTGGGGGTAAAGCGCGGCCGGCGCCAAAGGCTGACAACCTTATCGCCATCTGTGAGCCGACTGTCTCACAATCCTATGGGCCTCCACGGCCTGTTACAGGGAGCGCTTTGCCTATTTGTATCCTAAATGGAAGAGATCGCCTGCAAATCTTATACGTGAATAGGAGGATAGTGCAGAAATGGGGTGTGAACTAAGTGCCTCTAGCTCCAGACAGGGACAAATGGCGGCCGTTGGCAACGCGGTAACGAACCTGCAGAGTGAGAACACTGCTAGGAATTGCTTGACTAGCTGAGAGACTATTTGACTGGAATACTTTCCCCAGAAGTCCTTGTGACGGAAATAAAGCTTCCTTACATTCGTGTACCAAGTCGCTGGCTTCCCACCACGGCTGCCCGAGTTCGAGCCCAGGTCAGGTCATGTGGGATTTGTGGTGAACTAAGTGGCACTGTGACAGGTTTTCTCCTAGTACTTGGGTTTCCCCTGCTAATTCTCATTCCACACTCATCATCTACCCTCCGTGGCTGGTACGGTAGGCCAGTTAGAGGCCGACGTACCAAGTGGACTAGGTCTCACCCCCACCCACATAAACTAAATCAGTGGTCAGCGTGGTGGCGTCACAGCCCCTGTGCTGCAAGACTAGAGCGTCAGGACGCTGTCTTGCGTCATACTCTAAACATTGATCCATTCTCACTTCTAGACATTTCCCCCACCTCGAACGCTGATTAGCGTAAAATTAGTCCCTGGTGATCGGTTTCTTGAAGGGGGGGACTTGAAACGCGATTCCGCGACGTTTCTATGGAGCGAGCACTTCGCAGTGCATCTCAATGGAGACGAAGGCCCCTCCCGTGCGGTGTCATGTAAAGCGACAGCGGATCCCTAACTCTGCTGATGCTCCACATTCTCTTCATTTCTTGCCCTACTAAACCCAAGGAGAAGCTAACAGTCGCTCACCTACTCAAGAATCCAATTGCTGCCGTGTCGGGTTTGAGGCTTCCACAGTCGTGACAATGAAGAATACAATACTCTGAGCATTCGACGCCATATGTAGTCCGGAAGAAGTCTGCCGACGTTTCGGAGGAACGAAACAGAACTTTTTGTTGCCTACTCCTTGCTGATTTCTCGCTTGGCTAACTCTTCAACTCCGAAGGTGAAGGCAGTGAATTTTTACCCATCTGCACGGCGTTACTGCCCAAAAGACAGGCCAGTGGGCCTTCTCATAAGCCAGATGAATCCAAGCTATTTCTCTAACATCAATTTATTATCTACGTCTAGGTCTTCCAAGAATTCTCTTTCCTTCAGGTTTCTTTTTTACCAAAATTGTGTACGCATTTCTGATGTCTCCCATACTTGCTACATATGCCGTCCATCTCTACCTCCTTGACTGCTTATTACGAAATATCACCCAGTGCTTTCTACTGAACGCAAAACGTGGAGGTCTAGGCCTTGGTTGGGGCACTGAAAAACAGAATTATTTAGAAAATTTCTGTCTTCTGGGACACATAGTGCTTTGAAGGTCAACCGAATTTTCGGAGGAACATGTGACCTCCACCTGCACGGTTGAACAGTAAGCCAAGCAGTCAACCAGAGAGAAGGAATCGGTTGATTTTTACCGAACTGCACGGCGTCATATCCCAGAAGATAGAAATCTTCATAATCATATATGTGAGACCCTTTGATCCTACTTAGCTGATTTATGCGTTAGTGATTCTTCTCAGTCGCTCCATGAACTAACTAGAGAGTTAAAACATTCTGCGATAGATTCCCATGAAGTGTTTACGTCTTATGGTTTTTTTGCAGTCAGTTTCCGTATAAATTGATGTTACAGTGTATCACGTGACACTGTTGAGAGGGGCGGGGTATTTACCACGCATATGAACGATAAGAGAGGCATACAGCGTTGTGATAGGAAAACATGGAACGAGAGTCCACTTGGTAGATCTGGACGTGCATGGAAGAATAGCGTTAACTTAATGATAGGCAAATAGCGCGTGACAGGGCGGATTGGGTTTAACTGGCTCAGAATGGAGTCCACACTGTTGTGAACACGGGAATGAACCTCCTACGCGACTTCATGAAATTGGCACGTGTCTGAAGAGTAAGGAGTGAACATCGTGTTCAGATTTGAGTGAGTTTTCTGGGCGGTAACTATTAAGACAGCTGTCTTCTGGTATGTAACGCCGTGTAGTCTTGGTAGGTAGGCATGATCTTAACCTACCAGACAACACGGTCTCAAAGGCGTGAATATTGCCGTGGAAATCTCGAATCTCCTAACTGTGCGCATGTGTTGCAGGTGTATAACGTAACTATTATTGCTGAGCCTATGTTAACCAGCCGCATGGTACTTCTGTGATTGAATGGATTTCAAGACGGTTAATACAATGAGCCCGTGTCTCCTGCTCCACAGCAGCTGCTCAGGAAGAGACAGGTAAAATGGGACCGCGTCAGCTGCAACCTCAAGACGGTTGACACTACAAAAGGCGTTCCAAAGGCTTCGGGTGAGTTGTAGGGTAGTGGGTATTTTGTGTGCCTGCGGCCACTTCAGAAAGCATTGAAAGCATGTAATAGGCCGCGCCATAGCTCAAGCGGTTAGTCGCTGGCTTCCCACCGCGGCGGCCCGGGGTCGATCCCGGGTCTGGTCAAATGGGATTTGTGGTGGACAAAGTGGCAGGTTTTCTCCGAGTACTTCGGTTTCCCCTGCCAATCTTCATGCCACCAATTGCTCCGCAATCACCCTCACCTATCATCTGGGGCTGGTACAATAGGCCGGAAGTGGCCGCAGTACAAGGGACTTAGTCCCACCCCACTAGCAATAAAAATGCATGAATGCATGTAGCTTTAATTTGTTTGTATTGGGAGTGGTTTGTGTATGTCATCCATGGTAACGTAGAAACGTCCAGTGTTTGTGACGAGGTCAATAAGAACAGGGTTATTCTTTCAGTTGCTTATTATACTGGAACATGGTAAATACCGCTTAGCGTCATGTTTACCACCAAATTTGTACTGTTTACGTGTTTCGGTGAAAATACCGGTTCTGGCTTCCATCTAACCAGAACACTAATTCGTTTTGTTTACACTTTTAAAACCTGGACCGTATATTGTGTGAGGAAGTAAAAGCAATTCAGGTACAGCATTCAGAGTCAAAGCTACCCACAAACTTCATAAAGAATTCGCATAATAAACTCAACATGCAAGAATGTATACATTTTGTTTCTAGTGACTGGTGTTGCATAAGACGTTAATTTCAAATGGTTGGGAGCAATCGATTTACATATATTTGCGATCTCTCGCTAATGACCCATACTTCGTACTGGTTTGGTAAAAAAACAATGGAATGTTTATGTTTATGTTAGTGTAATCTATTTTCCTCTATAAGGAATCAGCAGATCACAGTTTATGCGGTTTGTATACGGTTCTTTTGCAGTTTAGTCTGCAGAGGTTCCAGAATATGGTGGAACCTGGTAATAAAGCAGATATTTTCAAGGTGAGGAATGGAAGGAAACCGACATCACGGCAGAGGTGCAGGAAGTGTGCAAGTGTGGCAACACTGAAGCATGCACCAGTTGATGTTTTGAGCGTTCGTTGTTAACTGAAAGCGATCAGAAAGCGACTGTAGGTCCAGCGGGTACGATGTGTCTCACCGAAAAGAAGTCCACGTGTAGCCTTGTGCTCGAAGATGGAACTGTTCTGCCCGGCGAATCGTTTGGCGCCAAAATACCAGCAGATGGCGAAGTTGGTGAGTTTGTATTGTGCTTAACTGCATTTGTTTTCGAGAAATGGAGCCCCCATGCTTATAGATAGTATTTGTAATCAACTCAGTGGAGCAGAATTTTTCTTGAGACGGTAATAGTCTCCAAGTTTGTCAAATTCCCCGCTTACCATGGAACCTGAAGGTTCATTGTCGTGTGTGAAATTACTAAGCAGGTGAACGTAGAAACCGAAGTTTGATGTCTGGGACATGTTTCGCCATGTGTGCGCCATATTCAGTATACTTTACAATGTGCTGTATATACACAGTAAACCCTCGCTAGTCCGATTGCAGTTAATTCGGATCTAAGTATGACAAATAAAAAATTCAGTTCAAGTTGAGTACGCACTTTAAAAGACACGTGGGACTTAGGAGCAAGAGGACTTTGAGACTGTGTTCAGGGCAGCTGGAGAGATTGAAACCTCGCAAGAAAACATCCAGGATTGGCTTGAGCTGGCTGAAGGAGATCTTGGATTTCAGCTTCTGACAGATAAAGAAATTGCTACTGTGATATTTTTTATTTATTTTCATCGACATCACCTATATCATTAAATTTTCGATTTATTTTTTTTCCTAAGTTTTTTTGCCTTTTAGGGCTATATTTTGCTTCATTAATCTCGTGTTATCGCATGATCTGAATGACTCCCCCATTCAACCCGATTGGGAAGGGTTTACTGTATAGTGATTGCAGATCTGCTCATGATAGAATGTTAGGCCTGAAGATGAGACACATGTCGCCCCGAAACAGCAGACTCTATCTGCCGGAAAGAATGTTGTGTGACAGGAATACAGTAGATACAATCATCTGCAGTGACCTACAGAACAGGATGCAACGAGATGCGAGGCTTCCCAGATTAGCGTCTGTAAAGTTTCTGGTTGTTGCGAACAATTGACAGCTACACTGATCTTGCGGATCTTGTTCAAAGGGCTTTACTTACTTATGGAGCTGAGCCCTTCATGAGGAACCGCCAATTCTGCAACTACTCAAGAATTTCCCAGCACCCGAAGGTTCATTACCGTGTTCACAAGAGCCCTCCACTGGTCCCTATCCTGAGCCAGATGAATCCAATCCATACCATCCCATCCTATCTCTCTAAGATCCATTTTAATATTGCCCACCCACCTACGCCTTGGTCTTTCCAGTGGTCTTGTCAAAAGGGCCATTTATATAAAAAATGTAATCAAACGTTTTCGGTTTTCTAATGGTGAAATTTAAGCGAACGGCGGCGCTGGCCTTCAGTTTGCTTGAATTTATGTTTAGTCTGTCATGAAATTCAATTATCATCACCTCCTCTTCCTCCCTCCCTCCTCCTCCTCCTCCTCTTCCTGTGGTTCCAAGGTGAAAGGTAAAAAGTAAACTTGTCCCCGTGTTTAACTAATTAAGCACTACGCCTTGAAGACGTATGGAGAAGTAGATGTATACAAGTAGATCCACGTATTGTTGACCTCGACAGTAGATGGATGTGAGTGGTCAGCTTCACGCCGCGGCTGCTTTACCCCCGGGGGATGCTGACAAGGTTTAGCCCACAAGGGCCTGGCCTGACCACCTTTTATGAAGTATCCAAACATTCCGTCTTCCCCTCGGCCCCCTTGGGGAGTCTGTTATCTTCCAGTCCTTCCATCTGAGTCACGAATCCCGAGAGGGCCCCTGAGCGTTTTCCTTTCAAATTACATTTTGAGTTAGTAGAAGAAAATGTTTGTGATAGAAAAAGAAGGAATATTATTTGCCTTCAACAAAAGCGGACACGATTTATTTCCGCGTCAGTTAATGGACTATCGCGACTTGGCTTTTAATTCGTTTAAAATACAGTGGTAACTATATGTACCACCCAATTTTAACGTAACAAACTCCGCATTCGTACGATTTTCACAACGAATAAATTGTATAGCATTAGGCAGTTTATCTTTGTAATGGAGACATTGTGTTTTTCTTGAGGTAGAAACTAGATTTTACTTTCACGTATACCTACGCAGTCTATATAAGAAACTATTGTGATTGTTAGGACGTCTGATTTGGAGATTCTGATGCAGTTACACGTTTCAAGCCCCCCTCCCTCCATCCCAAATGAGAATGAGTGGTTTTTGATATGCTTTCCGTCTGCCTGTATACGAGTATGTGCACGCGCCCCCCTTAGCGCGCGAACCGTTGGACGGAGTTTATTCGCCCTAGTCCAATGCCCGGTGAATATGGGGCCCAGATTTCTCGAAACTGCCTCTTAACGATTTTGTTTAAATTTCAGTAATTTATGAGGACCATCTCCCTGAATAAAACGCGCACTAGGGGCCCAAACGAAATGTCTGTTTCCTCCAGACCGGCTGTACCCGTCACATGGATTCAATTGTTCGGTGTTCTGCAACCAGCTGTGACCTGCCGAGCAACAGTCGATTCAAACCCGGGTGCATCAAACTAGACCACTCCTTCCACACCCTGTCCAGTTCACTCTTATCGAACCATTCGATGTCATCCTGCTTGAATCTGCCGTGACCTTGAGAGAATTCTGCTGACTGATAAAATTATGACGAAAGTGATGAAAATTGCTTTTCATGACCTACTTGATTATGAAAATATCCCGTTAATAACTGAAATGCTATCGCAGAAAGGATCAGCAAACGGTATATGCTGCTTCTGAACTGCATTCCGTTGACCCGTTTAGGGGTGAGAAAGAGAGCGGCAATTGTCTGCAGTCTAACTCCAACCGACAGTACAACTACCATGAGGCATCAGTACTGTGTCCAACATGCATAGCTTCCCCACACATTTCCCCCCCCCCCCCCNAGATTGAATCATGAAAGTCAAAGTCATGTTGCAACTGACGGTCAGTCAGTCTGTCTGTCTTGGTGTCGAACCCCAGCTGGGGTTCATGACCAGATGTTTTCTTCTTTGTGAAAGTTGCTCTCCTGTCCATTTGGGGCGCCCTCTCTGACGAGAGGTCGGGTCTGTCACTTGTCAGTCTTAGTCAGTCGATGTCAGTATTAACACATATTTACAATTTAATTCTAGTCTAAATTACTATTTTATGTACAATATATACAAGGCCTCTGTCACTCCAGGCATTGTACAGCAGATTATGCCCTATTTCCAGTAGTAATCGCTGCCACGGCAGGGCACTTGGACGGTCATATGCCTGACCGCCGCCAAGTTTAAGCCTCTTATACTTTCTGTGTCGGGCCTCGCCTTGTCCGATGTTGTAAACATTCTCATTATCATGATTTTATATGACTTTTGCTTGTTGCCTGCATAATTTTGTTATGTAATCATAGAGGTATGGAATTTTGAGTGTCATGGGCAATTCGCGGACCGCTGTGCGCCTTGGAAAATTGCCAATGGTGCGGAGAACCTTGTTTAGCAGGCGCTGCAATTTAACTCGATGGGTGTCTGCCGCAAACTCCCAGGCTGGGCTAGCATAAGTCATTACGGATCTAATGAGAGCTTCATGGAGGGTCAGTTTAATGTTAGCGCTCAATCGCTCACTTTTGAATAGGGAATATACTCTAATGAATATATGCCCTATTTCCAGTAGTAATCGCTACCACGGCAGTCTACTCACTTGAATCATGAAGTTCATCTACATGGTACTTAAACATTCAGTCCGTAGCTCACAGGAAACATATTACATCTCCGCTACAGAGACCAACCGGTTAATACTGTTTGCGGAAACAGTCGCTGTTTATCGTGAGAACCATATGGAACACACAAATACACTGTGTGGGCAGAATGCAGAGACTTTATATATAAGAATTCAGTCCGTACCTCACAGGAAACACATTACGTGTCCGCTACAGAGCCCAACTGGTTAATGCTGTTTGTTTGGGGAAACAGTCGCTGTTTACTGTGAGAACCATATGGAACACACAAATACACTGTGTGGGCAGAATGTAGAGACTTTATATATAAGAATTCAGTCCGTACCTCACAGGAAACACATTACATCTCCGCTACAGAGCCCAACCGGTTAATGCTGTTTGTTTGGGGAAACAGTCGCTGTTTACTGTGAGAACCATATGGAACACACAAATACACTGTGTGGGCAGAATGCAGAGACTTTATATATAAGAATTCAGTCCGTACCTCACAGGAAACACATTACGTGTCCGCTACAGAGCCCAACTGGTTAATGCTGTTTGTTTGGGGAAACAGTCGCTGTTTACTGTGAGAACCATATGGAACACACAAATACACTGTGTGGGCAGAATGCAGAGACTTTATATATAAGAATTCAGTCCGTACCTCACAGGAAACACATTACGTGTCCGCTACAGAGCCCAACTGGTTAATGCTGTTTGTTTGGGGAAACAGTCGCTGTTTACTGTGAGAACCATATGGAACACACAAATACACTGTGTGGGCAGAATGTAGAGACTTTATATATAAGAATTCAGTCCGTACCTCACAGGAAACACATTACATCTCCGCTACAGAGCCCAACCGGTTAATGCTGTTTGTTTGGGGAAACAGTCGCTGTTTACTGTGAGAACCATACGGAACACACAAATACGCTGTGTGGGCTGAATGCAGAGACTTTATACAAGTATATAAGAATTCAGTTCGTACCTCACAGGAAACATATTAGTCTCCGCTACAGAGCCCAACCGGTTAATGTTATTTACAGATCGGCTCTGGGGTCAACCTAGCCTCCTATACAGTGGGTACCGGCGGCTCCTTCCCAGAAGCCTCCAACTAGTGCCGAAGTCAAGAACAATGGAGCTATACTTCACTCACCCATACGTCTTAATGGCATGTTTGATTAAACACAGTGATAGGGGCGACTCTGTCTTTGCTGTGACTCGCTCGATCTGTGGTCTAGTGGTCAGAGTTTCTGGCTACAGATCCAGAGGTCCGGGTTCGATTCCCGGCGCTACCAGATTTTCTGAGAAGTATTGGGTCTGGAACGGGGTCCACTCAGCCTCGTGATGATAATTTAGGAGCTATTTCAAGGTAACAGCGGCTCCGGTCTTGAAAACCGAAATTAACGGCCGTGGGGATTCGTTGCACTGATCACGCGACACCCTCTATCCGCTAAAATTGGCACTAACTTCGCCGTTAAGCTGCGGTCGCTCGGTCGATATAGTTTGCTTGCGGACTAAAACCATGGAGTTTGTTTTTTTATGGCTGGCTCGATATATCTGCCTGCCATGCTACCCTTATTGCGTGACGTCGTGGAGGTTGCTGGAAGCGGTGTCAAGTTTGGTCTGGTTCTGGAATAATTTGGTCTCGCGAAAGGGTGACAGCCCCTAGGCACAGTCTTCAAACTGAGGTCCGCAGACAAGTACTGGAACGTTGAGTGAAACGATAGGGATTCTAGACATTACTAGATGATTTAAACATTAATTTATGTTGTGATTTAGTTGGACATGAAACTGGTAGGGTGGCTACATGTGAATGGTTTGAACGGCAACCATGTACTTATTAACTAGCTATATTTAAGCATTTCTTGATAAGCTAATAGTTGCATTCATTCATTCATTCATTCATTCATTCATTCATTCATTAGTAATCTGTCAGACGACAGGTCCACAGTCTCTTCAAAAACAATTCCCCCACTTAATGCGATCTAGAGCTTTCTCCTTCAAGTGACAGTATCCTCTTCTGTCCCCAAGGTCATCCAGCATCTTCTTACGTCTTCTTCCTCGTCTTCTTGTCACTTCTATCCGCCCCTCTATCTTTCCTTCGATAACTTCTTTTAGAAGGCAGTTTCTGCGTAAAACATGACCAATCCAATTAGCCTTCCGTTTTCTTATTTCGTGTAGGATATTCCTCTGCTCACTGACTCTAATTAACACTTCTTCATTTCTCACATAATCGGTCCAACTGATCTTCTCCATCCTTCTCCAACACCACATTTCGAAACTTTCCAGATGTTTCTGATCTACTGCCCTAAGTGTCCATGTTTCAGCCCCATACAGAGCTATGCTCCAAATGTAGCATTTCACTAGTTTCTTCCTCAAATTTAAGTCCAATTTGCTGGTAAAAAGATTCTTCTTCTTGCTAAATGCAGCTTTTGCCATGGCAATCCTGGATTTAATTTCACAAGTACACCTTCCATCATCTGTTAACAAGCTACCCAAATATTTAAAACATTTCACATTCTCCAGTTGTTTTTGGTCTATCTTTATTGTGACTGGGGTTGGTTGTCTCGAAATTTTCATTACTTTTGTTTTCTCCACATTCATTTCCATGCCATAGCACCTTCCAATTTCAATTAGTCTATCAATCATGCCCTGTAGCACAGTTTCTTCCTTAGCCATTAACACAAGGTCATCTGCATATTTCACAGTTTGAATAATTTGCCCTCCTAATTTGAAGTCTCCGAGCCCATCCAGAGCTTCCTTGGTAAGGCATTCTTTGTACAAGTTGAACAGAATTGGTGATAAACAGCATCCTTGTCGAACTCCTCTTCCAATCTGCACACTTCTTGTCTCCCCTCTGTCCAGTCGTACTCTAACTTTCTGATCCATGTACAATTTGCTAATCAATCTTCTTTCACGCCAATCGATACCTGTTTCCTTTAGGATCTGCATTAATTTGGTCCAGTTTACACGGTCAATGCCTTCTGCCAGTCTATGAAGCAAACACACAGTTCTTCATCTATCTCCAAAGTTCGTTCTGCTATAATTCTCATCATCCCAATTGCATCCCTGGTTCCTTTTCCTCTTCTAAATTCAAACTGATCTTCTCGAAGTATTATTTACACAAATTTATGAGCAGGATATGAAACCAATGGTTCATTACCATGTGCACAAAAGAGTCCCACTGGTCCCTATCCTCAGCCAGTTGAATCTAATCTACACCGCCTCATTCTGTTCATCCAAAATCTATTTCAGTATTTTCCTTCCATTGATCCATTCCTTGTGATCTCGTTTTACCGGGTTTCCCCAACAACATTTTCCATGTATGTCTCTTCTTTCCCTTGTGCTCTACATGCCTTGCTCATCTCATTCACAGTGATTTAATTGTTCTAACAATATTGGACAAAGAGTAGAAAGCTTTACACCCCTATATGTATTTTTCTCCAGTTGCTCCCCCACAGTTGCAAACGTTTTATTGCCAGAACAAATATTTTTGCTGTTGTTGTTACTGTTATAAATGCTATAACAGTAAAAGTTGTACCACTACAATGAAATATTGTAGGGGAGTGGAGGTACAGTTCCATGCATTCTTGACTCTGCAAAGTACAGTCTTCTGGAATGTGTCATCAGGCATAGTGCCTCCATCTTCAGGGTAGAATATGCAGTACACAGTCACTGCTACCATGTTTTGTTAGCAGTAAATGTGTGTCAGTGTTTCAGACCGGTATGGTGGGCTACCCCGAGTCGCTCACGGACCCGTCTTACCATGCACAGATCCTAGTGCTCACCTATCCTCTTGTTGGCAACTATGGCATTCCTGGCGATGACAAGGACCAGCATAACCTACCACGGTAAGAAGTCAGTGAGTGAGCTGTGCTGAGGAGGCCATTGTAGGTGGAGATTGTGGTGCCTCTCCAAGCTGTGTTGGCCTATGTCAGCCAGCCAAGAGCCCTAGTGAAGACTATCACTAGCAGTGTTCCTGTGACCGAGGAGAATATGCAGACACGGGGAAGCATAAGGGCTTGAAGTTGGAAAGGGGGGGGTGACCTGTAGTACTTCTGCCTGTCACTCCAGTATAGCCAATCAGGTTCTTGTTTTCGCGGTTCACAGTTCTTCAGAAACTAATAGTTGCTCAGTTAGTGTGGAACCCAAAGGTTCATTTCAGTTGTTCCTACTGCTTTAACTGGGGGTGGGGGGGAGTGAAACTTGGATATGTCAACATAGGAGAAACACGCAGACTAAGGGTGTGTGTGCGAGAATTTTGTCCTGCTGGGAATATTTGTGTATAAAGGGGGGGGGTGACAGGTGGGTAGATAAGACTGCATAATGAGGAACTTCATAATTTTTTACTTCTCAACAATTATTATTATTTGTAGAATGATCGAATCAAGGAAGATGAGGCGGAAGATGTGTGTAGCATGAATGGGAGGTGTAAGAAATGCATACAGAATTTTAGTCACTTTAGTCAGTGAGTCTGAATGCTTGGATACCCAAACATGAAGGGGATATAATATTGAAATGAATTTTAAAGAAATAGATTGTGAAAAAATTAAGTGGCTTAAAATGGCTCAGGGTTGTGTGCAGTAGCATGGGTGGTGTCAGTCAGGGGCAGTGCAGCAGCACAGATGAACAGGCAGACACAGGAAGCTCCACAATTTACATACCCATATTTTTTCTTGGTGTTTTAGTATGAGTATTAAACCCTACTTATCTCTTTATTATAAACAGCCGGGAAGCTGAACACGTGCTGTAGCAATGTAATCACACTGTTCTATGAATTATGACACGAATGAGTTTTTAGTTGCGGAGTCAGGAAATGTTGTATTGTTAACCACAACAAAGTTATGAGAAAGCTTAATCTCTTCTTAATAGAAGTTTAATCTTGTACTGGCCCTTGCAGAAGTGGTCTTGTAGGATTTGGGATTCTCAGAGCGCTGCTTATGAAGAGTTCTGTCTTCTGAGATACAGTGCTATGTAGTTTACTGTAAGTCAGTAGACTCTCCAGGGGAACACGCCTCCTCCATCTTCAGGGTTGAAGAATAAGCTGGTTCTTGGAGGGGACGTGTTCCTCCAACACATCAGTCGGCTCTGAGCGGATTGCATGCAGATGTATCTCAGAAGGTGGGCCCCTTCTGTAGTGGTATTGTGTGTTCTGTTGGATTGTGACCACCACTGTGATGTGTTGTTGTGTGTTGGCCATCAGTTGGTTTGAGTCGCATAGAATTTGGGCAGCTGGACTTGTGGTGAGGGAACTGTGTGAGACTCCAAGTCACTGGCGTCAAGCAAGGACTCTCTCTCAGTGGATGACGGACCACGGAGTTCCTGGGATCTGTGGCATCGACACGAGGGAGCTCACCAAGAAGATCCGGAGCAAGGGAACCATGTTGGGCCGAATAGTAATGGGAGTTCCTGAGTCTCCGTTGGCCGAATTTCGAGATCCAAACAAGCGGAATCTAGTGGCAGAGGTTTCCATAAAGGTACAAGCTGGTGATTGTGAACTTGTACACTTCTCCAAGTATAATTAGAACGCTCAAGTCAAGGAGGATAAGGTGGGCAGGGCATGTAACACGAATGGGGGCAAAGAGGACAGCATATAGGATATGGGTGGGAAAGCCAGATGGAAAGAGACCACTGGGAAGACCAAGACGTAAGTGGGTGGACAGTATTAAAATGGATGTGAGAGAGATAGGATGGTATGGATTGGATTGATCTGGCTGAGGATAGGGTCCAGTGGGGGGCTCTTGTGAACACAGTAATGAAGCTTTGGGTTCCATAGAATGCTGGGAAATTCTTGAGTAGCTGCAGAATTGGCGGCTCCTCAAGAAGGGCTCAGCTCCATGAGCAAGTAAGTATCTTATCACAGTAAATTGTAATTTTGTTCTTCTTTTCTGTGATCCCTGTTCATCACCTGCTCTGTCTACAACTCTGTGACTCCAGTGTTGATTTGTATTTGTTGGTTACTGGCACATTCATAATAACTGTCTGATAGTTCGTTGAGCTTCAGGAGTCACTAGAACAGGGTGCACAAGGGAATATTTAGATCTGAGAGGGAGGAAGTGACAGGACGGGGAAAGCTGCATATCTTGTACTCCTTGCCAAGTGTTACTGTAGCAGGGTGATCGGGTCGAGGATAATAGAAGTGGGGCCTGCAGCAGGCATGTAAGAGATGTGAAATGGTTACACAGTTCTGGTCAGAAACCTGAAGGAAGGGGCCACCTGGAAGAACTGGATGTATAGGGGAATATAACATTGAAATTGATCTTAAAGAAATCTGTTGTGGACTGGTTTAATTTACTCCAGGCCATGACAATATATATGTTCTCGTGAACATGATAATGAATCTTTGAGCTCCATAAAAGGTGGCAAATTTTTTGGCTGGCTGATTATTTAGCAGAGTCTGACTGATATGAGACAGTTGGCAGTCCTGTTTATACAGCCAAAATGCAGTTCATTTGTGTGAATAGTGGGGGGTGGAGTCCAGCTGGGTTCACTCAGCACGGTGGCCACCGATTGGCCTATTGCACCTGCCCCGGGTGATTATGATGATAGAGAATTTGGTGGAATAAAGATTGGCAGGGGAAACTGAAGTACTCAGAGAAAACCTGCCCCAGTGTCACTTTGTCCACCACAAATCCCACTTGACCAGACCCAGGCTCCAACCTGGGGCGCCACGGTGGGTAGTCAGTGACTAATCGCTTGAGCTGTGGCGCGGCAATGTATGTGAATGAATGCTTTTGTAATTTTGCAGGCTCCGGTAGTGTACAATGCTGAAGGGTGCCCCAGAATATGTGTTGTTGACTGCGGTCTGAAGTACAACCAACTGCGCTGTCTCTTGACGAGGGGGGCGAGGCTGGATGTAGTTCGGTGGGACCACACCCTGAACCCAGAGCAGTTTGATGGGCTCTTCCTCAGCAATGGGCCTGGTGATCCAGCTCTGTGTGGTGTTGCAATTGATAACATTAGGAACGTGATGCTGCGTGAAGACCATAAACCCATCTTCGGTATTTGTCTGGGTCACCAGCTGTTGGCTGTAGCCGCCGGTTGCAGCACGTTCAAGATGAAGTGAGTAACTCTCAGCATTACAGCACAGTTCCGTTCATTTGACTTTCATACCATCTGAGCACATGTCTTCCGTGTGAATTTATCTCACAGTTATGATGTCTTATATGAACCTGGGGGTAAAGGGAGGCTGGTGTGTAAGGCTGACAACCTCACCGCCATTTGTGAGCCGATTGTCTAGGGAAAATGTGGGAGCCTTGACATCTCACAACCCAATGGGCCTCCACGGCCTGTTACAGGGATAGCTTTACCTTTTATATGAAATTAGACACTCACTTGCAAATCTGAGCAGGTTGTTGTAGAGGTAAGGGTATGGACTTGTATTCTGTAGCTACTTTGTTTTTCATGGATTTCCTCAGTACATCCAGCAACTGCTGAGATACTATGTTGATTAGGCCATGACCACTTCCTTCCCAACCTTTTGCAATTCGTTATTTGCCAGTTGTCCCCTCGTCTGACACTGTATAATCTCGGTAACTTAACAATGAGAACCTGTGATGAAGGTTTTGTTTGCTCGTCTGTCTTATTCGTATTTTATTTAATGAATCTGTCAGTTGCTCAGGGTTTATAAGATAATTTATGAAGAGCAACTTGAAAAGGACTTGAAAGGGAGTGGCTGTGATCTAATATAAGATGCTGTACTGGCATTTGCCTGAAGGGACTGAGGAAAATCACTAAAGTCCTGTCTGGATTGTTGATGTCTCCTCAGTATTAGTCAGCCATACTTCAGGAAGCTGTAGTCTGGAACACGGCTACCAACATTTGGAACCTTCTGGATGGAAGTGTGTTCTTGTAAATGGTTACAGACTCTTTGAGATGAACCACCTGCTTCCGTTGTCAGGACCAGTTAGACCCAGCAACAACATAAGCGCAGAAGCTGAAGAAGGCATTGTTGGGAGCTGCTACAAAGCAACAGTTACATCAAGTTGTAGCAGAGTGAGAGGGCTTAGTGTTTGCAGCAGTGTTTTTTTAAGTGCATAGATTAGCATTTGTGTTATAATTGCGCGTAGTTAAGAGTTATGACTGTTCTGTAAATCCAGTTGCCAATCTAGTCACTAACACATGACAGCATTCAAAAAGCTGTTGGGCAAAAATTAAATTTGGCCCCTAACTGCCTGATGATGTACTTACATGGATTTCAGTTGAATCTCTTGTTTGGGTTCAGCTTGTATTTCAGCAGTATATGCATGCATGTTTGTGTACCTTTGATTGTTAGCTTCAGTTATGTTGTAGATATGGCAACCGTGGACACAACCAACCATGCACACATCATGGGACCGGTCGTTGTTTCATGACGTCGCAGAACCATGGCTTTGCTGTGGATGTTTCTAGTCTGCCCACTGGCTGGTTACCACTCTTTACTAACACTAATGACAACACTAATGAAGGCATCGTTCACTCCACTTTGCCATATTTTAGGTAAATATTCTGTATCTGACAACACTGCAAGGAATTAAGTTTTATGAATCAGTGAATTGTGGAGATTCTGCTGTATTAGTGCAAAGAGAAGTGGCATTGAATTTCATCTGATTGTTAAAGAGAGACATGTGTTTAGGAAGAAAGATCAGTAGCATGAATGTGTCGTTTATTTGTTAATCCTTTCATATCCTCTGTCAGATGGCTGCTTCCAACATCACAATTTACCAAAACAGATCTCCTGTTGGACTCCTTTCACCAACAACTTTATGAATGTACCATCAACTTATGATTGCATGCTGACTGTGAAATCTGTCTTTTTATGTCCTTTGACATCTCTTGTAGTAGTGCATGTGTACCAGCAGCAACAGATGGCATGAGTTTTGTATTTCCCATGACACAGTGTCTCTTTTTGAATTTTGTGCTCATGTTCTATGGCTGATATGAACTGAAAGTGGAGATGGATTGAGCTGTGTGATATATTCTGCTGACATGCTGCCATTCCTATCTAGCGTTCAGTTCCATCCAGAGCACACGGCTGGACCCCAGGACCTGGAGTGCCTCTTTGATGTTTTCCTGGATGTGGTCAAGAATCACAAAGCTGGCAGAGACATCTCTGTGCAGCAGTTGCTAACAGAACAGTTGCTATATCGCCCCGTGTGTCCCACCAATCCAGCACAGCGTCTGCATCCCAGGTAAACTGAACCAATATCCATTTGCATGAGTTCTGAGTTGTGTAATTACATAAAACAATGTATCAGACTTGAAAATGTATTGATGCTACTGCACTCCGTTAACTCTCTGAAGCTTGAAGCCTCACACTGTGAATTTTCTACTAACTACATAGCTGCAACTGTCAGTACAACTGGCCAACATGAATAGGTTCCCGAGGTTTTTTGTCAGCCAGAAGATGCAAGTAATGTTATTTGTGTTATTGTGATATCTTCTTTTGCCACATCACACCAAGCATCTTAATAGGCCTAAATGTACAAATGTTTTCTATTATACTTTGGTTTATTAATACATTTATCATTCTTTGTATGTCCACATTCTTTGTCTCATTTTCTTGGTTACTCTGTGCCTTATATCCTCATTTTGTTGCAGAAATATAGCCTGTGGTTTCTTATGAAAATTAACAGAGTTCTGATTGGCAGGTTTCACACACACAGCCATCTTGGTAGTTCTTAGGAGTGGAATTTCATATTTTTTATACCTATTTGTGGCTAGAATGAAGCCAGAAGTTCATGTAAATTATGCACAGAATTCAGTCCATGCCTCACAGGAAACACTGCTTCTACATTTTGGGGTTCAACCAGCAAATGATGCTTACAGAGATACATATTGTTCATGTGGAATTCAGAATTCAAAGGGATAAAGCGCTCTATCATTTCTTCTTATGCCCGTATGTTATTTTATGTACTCTATTTCCCATTAAAGAAAGATGAATTAAGCTGTTGTTTTGCAGGAAGGTGCTCATCCTGGGCTCGGGGGGACTGTCCATCGGACAAGCTGGCGAGTTTGACTACTCAGGCTCACAGGCTATCAAGGCCCTGAAAGAGGAGAACATTCAGACTGTACTGATTAACCCGAACATTGCCACAGTTCAGACCTCAAAGGGCCTTGCAGATAAAGTGTACTTCTTGCCACTGATGCCAGAGTATGTGGAACAGGTAGGGAAACTTCAGGTGATGACCACTGAAGAAGTAAACTATGTGCAGGTCCTGCCCTCTAGCATTGGCTCCAGGATATAAATGTATGGTAATCATTTTTGTTACAGGATAGTTACGAATATGTAAGACATTTTGCAATGAAACACATTGGTCCAACTAAGTAATTGACTTATCATCCTTGATTTGATTGTGAGACAAACATAGACAAGGAAGTTCCCATGATATTTGGCATGTGAGTTAGTGTTAAGCAGTTTGTAGAAAAATTCCACAAATTTCCAAATCATTGTGTGAAGTCTTCTTGTTTCCAAAACCCAATTTTTGTTGGAGGAGAAGGATTGTAGCCTGTATCCAAAAATTTATATACCCTGGTCTGACTGGTGAATGAACCTAAGATCCTCTGAAATAATTCTGATTGTGCTACCTGAGATCCAAAGTGCTCACACCTGAAAGTAGACGTTCAGCACTCTATCGCGTTTTACAGGTGATAATATCAGAGAGACCAGATGGTGTGCTGCTAACATTTGGGGGGCAGACAGCTCTCAACTGTGGAGTCAAGCTGCAGCATTCTGGTGTGTTTGAAAAGTACAATGTGACTATTCTTGGCACGCCAATCCAATCCATCATTGAGACAGAGGACAGGAAGATTTTTGCAGACAGAATAAATGAGATAGGTGAGAGAGTGGCTCCAAGTGCTGCTGTGTATTCAGTACAAGAGGTAAGCATCATGGTTTTCTACAGCCACTCTAGCAAAATGTGAGGATATTCCCTCTAGGCTGTGACCAGTTCCTACCATGTTCAAATCATTGTTGATTAGTCATCCTCACTGAATGCTGTGTTGCCTGACTTACTAGAAACTAAACTAAACTCTGTGGCCTGTAGTCTGCAAGCGAACTATACTGACCAAGCGACCGCCGCTTGTCGGCGAAGTTAGTGCCAACTTTAGCGGATAGAGGTGTCACATTGCCAGCGCAACGGATCCCCACGGCCGTTAATCTCGGTTTTCTAGACCGGAGCCACTATTTCCTTGAAATAGCTCCTCAGCTATCTTCACAAGGCTGACTGGACCCCGTTCCAGACCCACTACTTCTCAGAAAATCTGGTAGCGCCGGGAATCGAACACAGACCTCTGGATCTGTAGCCAGGAACTCTGACCACTAGACAACCGAGGTGGTCCCTGAGTTACTAGAAGCATTATTAAATAAACTGTAAATAAATAAGATGTACATGTTCAGCATAGGGGGTTCAGGAAAGCAGAGTTGGTGTAGTGATGAGCTGTACACTGGAGGGGTGAGGGATCAAGGTTCGATTCCTGGCAGGGATGAGATTTTTCTTTTCTTCATACCATACATCCATATATCCAATAGGTAACAGAGATTCTTTCCCTGAGAGCAAAGTGTCTGAGGCATGAAGCTGACTACTTACCTCCACTTACTGCCAAGATCAAGAATGAATGGAGTTATTCTCTCAGTCCCCTATATGTCTTCATGTTGTGGTGTGTAATTAGTAAAGCTCAGGAATATTTTTGTCACTGTATAACCCCGGTCTAATGTTCCCCAGTCTATAGTTTTCTGTCATTTAATGCTCAATATCAGTGATGCCAAATCAACAGTCCCAATGTTAAATTATCTCAGGTTAGCATTAAAATCTACTGCTCCACAGAGAAACCTTGAATGCACTCAGTTCCTGTCTGGACACCGTGTTGAGGAGGTCTGGAGCAGATGTTGCTGCCATATTGGTCCATGTACATTTGTTACAGGGTCTGGAAGCTGCAGAGAAACTGGACTGTATGCAGTCTGAGTGCCATGTTGAGGAGGTCAGGAGCAGATGTTGCTGCCATATTGGTCCATGTACAATTGTTACAGGCTCTGGAAGCTGCAGAGAAACTGGAATATCCTGTGATGGCTAGAGCAGCTTTCTCTTTAGGAGGCCTCGGTTCTGGTTTTGCGAACAACAAGGAGGAGTTGCGTTGTCTGGCCCAGCAGGCTTTGGCCCACTCCAGGCAGCTCATCATCGACAAGTCCCTGAAAGGCTGGAAGGAAGTGGAGTATGAGGTGGTTAGAGACGCATATGATAACTGCATTACGGTAAGTGGGAGTAATTGGCGACAAGCCTATAGTTCATACTGAGCTGTTAGTATAGTGCTCATGCTCTGAACACATGAACACATATTAGGGAGACGTTCAGTTTGATTTTCTGCTTGGATACCAAATGTCTTAGCTTAAACTTTGGTTTTCTTCAGTGTCTCCAGAGAAGTTTCCAGGATAGTTCTTCAATTAGGCCATAATCTCTTTGTTCCAGATCCTTTGCAATTCATCAGTCCTTCCCTTGGGTGCTATGTAGTCTACATGTAGCACTGTAAAATAAACTACAAACTTATAACAGCCGGGATAGCTCAATCGATAGAGTGACAGGCTACAGTCTGGACAGCTGGGGTTTGATTCCTGGCAGTGGAAAGATTTTATTTCCTCCATAGTGTCCAGATTGGCCCTGGGTTCCACGGAGCCTCCCATCCACTGGGTACCTGGAGCTGTGTGTTTTATTTCTGCATACTTTCAGACTTGTTGCTCTTTACTGGCATTAGCCATTATCAGTCATCCATTTTGTATTAGAATGGTGCATGGGCATTATCCAGCTGGCCTAGTGCTGCCTTTTTAAGTACATATACCACTTGCCCTAGAGCTAAAAGTCTGGCTGCTACATTAATAGTGCAGGCGGTCTTAAGTTGCCTGTTCCCAGATAATGGAAGTTAAGGATAATCTTTGCACACAGTCTGAATATACTCAGTATAAAAATTCTATCTGAACATGAAATTGTTGAATGTTTCTGGAAACTTAATTCATCATCTGAGATCACATCTGATTGACTGGTGGAATTGGTTGGCCATTCAGAAGTTGCATGTGAATGCACTCGTGTGTGTGACGGTTCACGTCATGCTCTTCTGAGCTATGACTTAGTGCAGTCTGGTACTCAGAAAGTTAGTCACAGTATGAAGTGAATTGACTGATGTACTCCGTTTACATGTAGAAGGTAGATGACAGTTCAGAAGTATTTAATTTTCTTCATCTTTTAATTTGGTTATGTTGTACTCTGTCTTGTTACAGGTCTGCAACATGGAAAATGTCGACCCTCTTGGTATTCACACAGGAGAATCTATCGTTGTTGCACCAAGCCAAACACTTACTAATCGAGAATACAATCTTCTTCGAACAACTGCAATAAATGTCATCAGGCATTTTGGTGTCGTTGGAGAGTGTAACATTCAGTATGCTTGCAATCCAAATTCAGAGGAGTACTACATCATTGAGGTGATTAGCCTTCTTCTCTCTCCTCTCCTCTCCAATTTTGTCCCGTATTCTCCCTAGAATATAATATTTTTCCTAACATATTATTTCCATCTTGATCTCAGTCTTCCTGCTGGGTGTATTCCTTTAGTTTCATGCTCAAAACCTTTTATGGGCTTCTGTCTGTCTTCATCCTTAAGACATTTCGATACCATATTATTCAGTTATTTATTAGGATGATAATATTAAGAGGGATCTTGGAGAGATAGGGTGGGGTGGTGTGGACTGGATTCATGTGGTTCAGGGTAGAGACCAGTGGAGGGCTTTTGTGAACACAATAATGAACCTCTGGGTTCCATAAAATGTTTGGAAAATTCTTGAGCAGCTGAGCAACTGCTTCTCTGAAAAGAATCATCTTTATGGAGTTAGTTATCTTCAATACATTTGTCCTTAAATTCTAATTTATTTTTTCATTTCTTGTTCTCCTGTTTATGGTTTTCCCTACCATGTGCCTTAGTGATTACTTGTATAATATAACAAATGTAGAAGGTAAAGTGCTTATCCTTTAATGTCTGTAAATAAGAAATTGAACTGTTTGTATGCCATGAGCTGACTAGATCAGTTCCAGGATACTTCTGTTAACACTGACACAGACAACGAGATTGGCTATTGTTAATCGCTTAGTACAGCTTTTCTGACAATAGATGGCACAAAGTGTAGCTTACCAGTGTTTGAGGAAAGATGTGGTTCACAATATGGTTGCAGGTGAATGCCCGTCTGTCTCGGAGCTCTGCCCTGGCCAGCAAAGCTACAGGCTACCCTTTGGCTTACGTGGCTGCCAAACTGTCCCTTGGAATTCCCCTGCCTGATATCAGGAACTCAGTGACAGGATCCACCACTGCCTGCTTCGAGCCCAGTCTGGACTACTGTGTGGTGAAGATCCCACGATGGGACCTCAGCAAGTTCACCAGAGTTAGCACTAAGGTACTTGTGTCTTCTGAGACTCTGCTACTTTGCTCAAACAGCTAAATAAAATTATTTTTAGTGAATAATAAGCAAAGAACAGCAAATGAAAACAAGAAATAAGAAATATATATGACAAACTGAAAACAAAAATCAAAACATCCTTCTGCTACGTTTAATTATGATGCCTTTGTCTATTTCATTGGTGTTTTATTTTGATTTAATAAGACATTTTTTAATAATTGTGTTTGAAACAAACTTGCCTATTTTGGTACCATTGTTAAGCTGGAGACTTACATCTTGTCATCTGTCCTCAGTTGCTTATTCAGTGTATTCACAATTACTCACATGGTCTGCTTTTGTTTAAATGAAATACTGAGGGAAATATTTGTACCTACATAGGATGCTGTAAGTGAGGAATTAGGGTACTACAGAATGCGGCTGTGTGTTGTGTACAGGTCACCTGGTTTTGTTAGGGCAGTGAAATGTAAAAGAGTATGATGGGATGGGCATATAGCTAGGATGGGAAGACAAGAACTGCATATGGAATTTTAATGTGAAAAACCTCTTGAAAAACATTTACTTGGAAGACAGCTACTGTAAAATCATGGTAAGTATAGTGTGTTCTATGAAGCTGGTTCGCATAACAGTAACATACTGGAATTTTATTTGTGAGATGCTTGGTTCGAATCTCAGCTAGGACACGTGCTTTCTTAACTAAGGGTTTTTGTGGCGCTCTCAGTCCTTGCAGGCAGACAGTGGACAGTACCTTGATTAGGTCATGGTCTCTTCCCCCCAAAACTTTTACAGCTCATCATTCACTATAACATTGAGTGCTGTAGTCTGGCAACCAAAGTGTCAGGTAATAAACCAGAAAAAGGATACAGTATTCGAAAATCAGTTTTAAACAGAGATGTATCTTCATTCAGTATGTATGCTGGAATGCATTGGTTCCTGCATGGCTATCAGCATAGCAGCCACTGTATGAAAAACTGCAGTAACTACATCACAGACCACAGCACCCATGCCACAGACTGCTGTAACCATGTCACAGACTGCAGAAGCCATACCACAGACTGCTGAAACCATGTCACAGACTGCAACAATCATCCCACATTACAGAAACCACATCACAGACTGCAGGAATCATCCCACACTGCAGAAACCACATCACAGACTGCTGCAACCACACTGTGGACCACAGAAATCACGTCAGAGACTTCAACACTCATCCAACATTACAGAAACCATGTGACAGACAACAGCAACCAAATTAGAGACTGTAGCAGCCACAGAACTGATAAGACTGCCATAGCCTTTGTGTTGAGCCTCTGTAGAACACTGTGGATTGTAATATCATTACTGAGAAAGTGAGCTGCAGTTGTAATTTTGGGGGGGGTGGAGGGTCTCCTGGTTTGACTCCTAGTTGGGATGCTGGCTGTTTTGGCTGAGCCTTATCATGATTTTACTTGTGCAGGATATTAGCCCAGCTTAGGTCATCGCTTCCTTCCACATTCTTTCCAGTCTAATTATTGATGCTGTGTCATCACAACAAGAACACAATTCTTGTTTTAATATGAACTTGTTACGCTTCTAGATTGGCAGCTCGATGAAGAGTGTAGGAGAAGTAATGGCAATTGGAAGGAAGTTTGAAGAGGCTTTCCAGAAGGCATTGCGTATGATGGATGAGAACGTCCTGGGATTTGACCCTTATGTGAAGGCCCTCTCTGACGAAGAACTTGAGACCCCAACAGACAAACGTATGTTTGTGTTGGCTGCAGCCCTGAAGGCAGGGTACAGCATCGATCGGCTGTGTGATCTCACAAAGATTGACAGGTGGTTTCTGCAGAAGATGAAGAACATTGTGGACTATCAGGTGATTCTGGAGTCGCTTGGCCAGCCTCAGCTATCGCAGGAGCTGCTTCTGAAAGCAAAGCAGTATGGCTTCTCGGACAAACAGATTGCAACATTCGTCAAGAGCACCGAGCTGTCTGTCAGGAGGAAGCGGGAGGAAACAGGTGAGTATTGGTGTGTGTCTCGTTACAGTATGAGCTCAGACATGTTCAGGAATGTTTGCATGTCTTGAGGGCAGATGTTATGTACACAACCTCCAGAATATTCTTCACCTCCTCCTCTTCATCCTCCATCATTATCATTGTTCCTTCCTCTTCTTACTTGCCTTCTCCCCTCACCTCCCCCTCCGCTAATGTTGGAACAGTGAGTGAGCTGCATGGGTGTTGCACTGTGTGCTGTTAGGGTCAAGTTGCTCATGCTGTGTGTACTGTGCTTTCAAGGAATCACTCCATATGTGAAGCAGATCGACACAGTGGCAGCCGAATGGCCAGCGAGCACCAACTACTTATACCTCACATACAACGGCTCAGCTCATGACTTAACATTCCCTGGTGGGCTCACCATGGTCATAGGTAAGTGACTGTTGCATCTCTCCTTGAAGGAGTGTTTTTCTTTTTTTTAAATCACTTAGTTGTGGGGGTGGAGTCCAACTGGGTCCACTCAACACGGTGGCCACTGATTGGCCTATTGTGCCTGCCCTGGGTGATTATGATGATGGAGAATTTGGTGGAATGAAGATTGGCAGAGGAAACCGAAATACTCCAAGAAAACCCACCCCAGCGCCATTTTGTCCACCACAAATCCCACTTGACCAGACCCGGTGGGAAGCCAGTGATTAACCGCTTGAGCTATGGCGCGACCTTGAAGTGTTGATGGCCTGACATGAAATGCAGCATGAGATTCACTAGCATTGAGGCTCTTGCAGTCCCCCACCCTCCGAGAACACCCCAACTCGAGTCACAAACGGGCTGTGTTAGGAACATAGAGATGGAACTGCAGTTGAGATTGACAGGATCTGGTGAGTACAGAGAAGAATATTCAGGTCCACAGAAATGAAATTTCTGGAGAGCTGAATGTTGTAACGGTTAGCCATCCCAAGTTGCAGTGGCGGTAGTTAGTGCTGTACTTCTCCAGGTAGTTCGTTCGTGTGATGATATTATTCAGTATTTGAATTCAGAATGTCTGTATGCTCACCTTTAACCTTTGGGGGGGGGGTTGTATGCAGTGTAGTTGCCATTTTCAGTACAGCTGTCATGAAGTGCCAATACTGAGTCCAACATGGATGGCTTCCCCCAGTTTTTTACCAGTCAGAAGATGCAAATAATGTTATTTGTGTCATATTCTCACATCATGTCACATCACGTCACATTTTGTTTTGTTAATAGGCCTACATGTAATAACTCTGTTTTCTTTTAATTTGATTTATTTGTTTGTATTCTCTCTTTCTCTCCCCCTCTCCCCTTTCTTCCATGTTCATTTCTGTCTCCACATTATTCTTGTCTTCTTGGGTACAGTTTACCTTACATTCTAATTTTATTGCTGAAGTACTGTATAACCAGTTTGTATCTTATGCCCATTAACAGAGTTCTGATCAATAGGTTCCATACTTGGCTGTCATATTGCCTTCTTGGGGTGGGAAATCATTTTCTTATGCATGTTTGTGTCTAGGAGCTGGAGGTGTTAATTCAGTTTAAGAACTGCAAAATCTGCATATAAAAAGTTAAGATTTGTTGTTCCTGGAGTTGAAGCCTAAGTTTATCTAAATAATATACTAAACATTGAGTTCCTCACAGGAAAGACTCCAGCTCTATAACGAAGCCCAACAGGTTAATGCTGTTCAGGGAAACAGTCGCTGTTTACTGTGAGAACCATACGGAACACACAAATACACTCTGTGGGCAGAATGCAGAGACTTTTTGAAGCAGGTAGTACATGTAGTTACCACTGTGATTTAAAGAGCTAAGTAACTATATCTAATTATGTGTTTTATGTCACTTGTGTTGAATCTCCAAGTTGTAGTATAAAGGTACTACAAAGTGATTTACTTAGAGGCAGTCCCAAATTAATAACAGTCATGTAATGTTGAAACTTGGCAACATTGTGTACTCTGCAACACTGATCTGGTGTCTGCCTGCCTGATTTGTCGCATTTCCTTCAATTTGTGATTTCACATGTTGTGTCACAGCATTTGCAAACATGGAACCTCATGTCAGCCTATGTCTCCTGGCTGTGAGACACCAACTTCAGCTTCAGTTACCTCCACATATACCAAGGTTAGGTTAGGTTGGATTAGGTTTTTTTCTTGTCAGTAGATTATCATGTCATCTGTAGTTATTAATTCGGGGCTGCCTCTGAGTGAACCACCCTTGCAGTGATAGATTTAATGGTATGTACTGTAATTGTTGGTTAGGTTCGGGCGTATATCGCATAGGCAGTTCAGTCGAGTTTGACTGGTGTGCTGTTGGATGTCTTCGAGAGCTCCGTAACCTGGGCAAGAAGACCATCATGGTGAACTACAATCCAGAAACTGTCAGCACTGATTATGACATGTGTGACCGATTGTATTTTGAAGAGATTTCATTCGAGGTATGTTATAAGCTGTACAGACTCATGTACCATACGGTCTTCTGGCATGTGATGCCGTGTGGTCTGAGGGATCTCTTATCTGACAGGTTTGGCTGTTGTGATCACTCAGATGAGTGGTTTAATTAATAGCATAGTTGGTTGAGGCACTATGCTACAAGCTGGAAGGTCATGGGTTCAAGTCCCAGTGAGGTAATTGGATTTTTTCAAATGACCTAATCCTTCCAGCTGCACTATGGCCCTGGGGTCCACTCAGCCTCTAACAGAAATGAGTACCAGGAATATTCTTGGGAGTAAAGGGTGGCCAGCGCGTAAGGCTGACAACCTCACCGCCATCTGTGAGCCGATTGTCAAGAAAATGTGGGAGTCTCAACCTCTCATGACCCTACAGGCCTCCACGGCCTGTTACAGGGATAACTTTAATTTACTTACTTTACTTGACTTTATATCATACATATATACTGCAGCCAAGAAGTGATGAATTTCATGGTTTTCTTCCCTGTTACTGACGATAATATGGGGCATTATCACTTGTGACGTTTTTAGTTTATGCTTGCTTATGTTAATACAGTTCTCAAATTGTGTGATATTGGCAAGGAAGACAACTGTACCCTGGGTGAGAATGGACACTTCTGCGCGTGAGTCAGTCAGCATCCATATGGTGTGTCTGTCCGTTACTCTCAATTTGTGCCGTAATATTGTCCGCTGCAGGTTGTGATGGACATATACAATGCAGAGAATCCTGAAGGAATAATCCTGTGCATGGGGGGGCAGTTACCCAACAACATTGCCATGGATCTGCACCGCCAACAAGCTCGTATTCTGGGCACGTCTCCCGAGTCTGTTGATGGGGCTGAAAATAGATTCAAATTTTCCCGTATGCTGGATCGCATTGGAATCTCTCAGCCCAGGTAATTTAATGTACATGTATTTATTGTGTGTGTATCGTTTTATTGGTGAGGAAACTGAAACCTCAGACAGCATATCCGGTCTCCACACTGAGACCTGAACCATGCACTTACAGAATATAAGGCAGTTATGGCGCTTGGTTATGTATGACTCAAGTCACTGAGATGAATCGGGTGATGTTTTGGAACTGCTCTGGATTTGTATTTGGGAGGTGCTTGGTTGGAACCTCAGATAAGAAACAGGCCATTCTGACTTAGATTCTTTGTGCTTTTCTCAATCTGCAGCTACGCGCTAAGTAACTTCATCCTACCAGATCTTTCCCACCCATCAGTCGTCCTATCTTTCAGTGCTGTGTAGAGTAGCTACTGAGAATGTCATAAAATAAACCCCAAAGAGACTTCAGTGTGTTAGGTTTAAACAGAGCATGTGTAATTCATGTGGAGGCAATGAAATGTGGAGACATCTGACTGACTGAACATTGACTTACGTCCAAACAGATGGAAGGAACTCACAAACCTCAAGTCAGCGATAGAATTCTGTGAAGAAGTGGGCTATCCTTGTCTTGTGCGGCCATCTTACGTGCTCAGTGGAGCCGCGATGAATGTTGCCCATTCTCCTCAAGACTTGGAGACTTACCTCAAGTCCGCAAGTGACGTCAGCAAGGAGCATCCAGTAGTCATCTCTAAGTTTCTTTTGGAGGCCAAAGAGATTGACGTTGATGCCGTTGCATATGATGGCATTATCCTGTGCCTCGCTGTCTGTGAACATGTTGAGAATGCAGGGGTGCATTCTGGAGATGCTACCCTTGTTACACCCCCTCAGGACATCAACCCCCAGACTCTACAGAAGATCATGGCAATTTCAAGGGCAATTGCGGGAGCCCTGGAAGTCACTGGGCCCTTCAACATGCAGCTCATAGCGAAGGTACTCAGTGTGTTCACATTTCTTTGTCACAACCTAGTGGTGTTAGTGTAGTGAATCTGAAACATGTTTGAGGATGTGTCATCATCAGATAATGATGTTCCTCATTACATGGTCCTCAGAAAGTCAGTAGATCCTGTTTTCAACACATGATGGGAACACAAATTGCCATACCAAGGATCTCGTTGAATGTACAGCCCTCTCTTCCATTCAGACCAATGTTAGCAATGATAGCCATACAATAATCTGCACCAATGACAAGCACTTTGGGATAGTTTATGTAAAGCAAGTAGGATGGGGTGGAATGCAGCAGTGGCAAGAGGGAGGAAGCCTGTAGCACCATCATCCCCACTGTCCATGGGACATCTTTTGTGGCCTCAGTTTAATATGAACATTTGAATGGATACACAACATCTCATCCTGAAATGGTCCATGTTGATGCATGGAAGTTTGTTAAAAGTAAAGTCTGTTACTTTTCCTTTTGTTGTAGGACAATGAACTGAAAGTTATAGAGTGCAATGTTCGTGTGTCCCGCTCGTTCCCATTTGTCTCCAAGACATTGGATTTTGATTTTGTGGCTGTGGCAACTCGTGTTATCATTGGCGAGAAGGTGGACCCAGTTGATGTCCTTGCAGGGTGTGGCAAGGTGGGCGTGAAAGTCCCACAGTTCTCATTCTCACGACTTGCAGGTACGTTATCAACAGGAATGTTTACAGAATCACAGAGTCACTCAAATCATATGTCATGTCGTGTTTTTCTCTTTTTCTCATATGGGAAGATGGAGTCTATGTCAAGAGACCTATCGCAGCTCATGTCTTGCTGATCTCTTGCGTGTTTATCTTCCTTTCTGTCTGTTTTGTGTTGCAAAAAGGCTTATATCACTTTCTCTTTCTAATCCAGCATATAAGAAGCATTTTATTTACTTCATCTGATGTGATCATCGTGCATAATGGGGAGCTTCATGGTTGCTACTTTTCCAGAAATATTATTAGGGTGATAAGGGCGAGATAGGCTGACTTACTTTTATTTCATAGAGTATTTAACGATGCTTTCAGCACTGAGACTACATACTGGCACATAGTTGGATGAATGGTGAATTGCAAAGAATTTGGAAGGAATCAGTCATGCTCTCATCAAGGTACTGTCCCAAGATTCGCCTCGAGGGAACTGGGAACACTACAAAAAACTTCAGTCAGAATGGCCAGTGTCCCAGCTGAGATTTGAACCAAGCACTTCCCTAGTACAAGTCTTGAGCATTACAGTGGGACCAACCTGCTTAGTGGTTAGAACATGTTGCATGCATTAATTTTTCTCAGTCCCTCTATGTAAATGTCATAATAATACCCCATATTAAACCATGACCTATTCCTTGCCTATCCTTTCAGATTCATTATTCACTAATCATCCTTCCATTTGACATATAATATTAGCTAAAACAATTACAGTGACTTGGCCATATAAAAAGAATGGATTTAGAGTTACAATTTCGGGGAAGAGACCTTTGGGGTGATCCAGAACAAGATGGTTTTCGTAAGATTTGAGGCTTTCACGGCGGTGACTATGAAGAAAGCAGTCTTCTGGGATTTGGCACCGTGTATATGTGGTGTTAACCGACGTTTCGGAGGAACGTATCGCCCCCATCTTCAGGGTAGTCTGCTTTACCGTTTCTCATGGTGTTGTCGCTTGCAGAATTCTTATACTTTTTCTTCTACCCTGAAGATGGGGGCGATACGTTCCTCTGAAACGTCGGTTAACACCACATATACACGGTGCCAAATCCCAGAAGACTGCTTTCTTCAAGATGGTTTTCAACCAAATGCTGGAAGACTTCAAGAGGAGAGGAGAGAGCTGGCAAGGAAGATTGTAGCAAGACTTTGTTCGGCAACCTGTATGAAACAGAAATGATGCTAGGGCAAGCAGGGGGCAGGATCACTAAATAAACCATAAATAAATTAAGGTGAGGCGTGTGACAATGTGAGTATTGCTGCTTGTGTCTAGGTGCAGATGTTATGTTGGGAGTGGAAATGTCTTCAACCGGAGAGGTGGCATGTTTTGGAGAGAACCGCTACGAAGCATATCTCAAAGCTATGATGAGCACCGGTTTCCAAATACCAAAGAAAGCAATATTACTGTCAATTGGGAGTTTCAAGGTACGGAGTTGTATTGTGATCATTATCAGATTTAGTTCACCTGTTTTGGAGACTGGAATACAGAACATATGTAAAATGAAACAAGTACATAAATATGTCTGGAAATGAATTGTGAAGTTTTCATGGTGGTGAAGACTCATACCGTGGTCATCTGGCTTTTGTTCCTTGTAATCTGATAGGTGCATACAGCCTTTTCAAAGCAACAGTCTGTCTCCATCTTGTTGGATGGAATTGAAGATGAAGGTAGTGTGACACATACTTGTCCGATTCAGACGTTGTACTGGTCATGTGATGCACCTTTGCTTGATTTGCACAAATACACTGGCTGCATGTTGCATATCAGTTTGATTTAGCTCCCATTCCTTGGCAGCACAAGACAGAACTTCTTCCTTACATCAGGAGCCTACACAAGATGGGATACAAGCTATATGCCAGCATGGGGACTGCTGATTTCTACACAGAGCATGGAGTGGATGTGAGTGTATTTAATTTATTTATAATATGCTTATTGTTTATCTAATGCTGCTGTCAGGAATTCAGATTATATAGTTTTTATTTAAAGAGTGATTAATGAACACTGAATAGGAAAACATGTGGAAGAATTCAGCAGTGTCTCAGAATTTGCCTGAGGGAGCTGAGGAAAACAAGTCATGTTAACACTTTGCGGACCTCACACCCTTTAAAAGGTTTTTCGCTTTTAAACATGGCGGACCGTTTGCATGTTAACAGGCTTTTAGAACACGATAAGTTGCAGCACACCATACATCGCTCTGGCGCCACCTACATTGCACGCAACCACCTGCAAATGCGTGATAAGACTCTGGAATGTTTAGTTAGCAGTCAGTAACTTGACCTCGCTGTTTACTTAACCGACTATAAAGGAAAATGCTTTGCCTTCTTCAAGCTGTGTGTATCAGCCAGTAGCTAGTGGGGAGAATGGATCAAGGACAAATTCTCCTCCGATGACGTAGCTGACCTGCCTTGTGAGACGCGTAGTAATGGATTGTCATTCAGACAGCGACAGTGACGGGGGACAACAAAGAATTGTGGCCACAGACAGTAAAAGTAACAGTAGCTCCGACGATAATGCAGGTAATAACATTGCGGGGACAGCAAAAAATCTAAACCCTGATTCAAAATTGAAATACAGAGCATTTCTGATGAATGTGGCAAAGGCCTGGGCTACAGTCCAGATGGTGGCGGCAGAACCAGGGTCACACAAAGACTTAGTATGACAGGGCCCATGAACTCCCACCCCACGAAGGCCTCATGTGGACCCCCCAGGGCAACTCTTGAGTGATATGCGGAAAAATACCCTCGTGAAAATTGTGAAGAGTGAACATTCCAAGGGGAAGAATACTTCTAGGCAATGCTGTGTTTGCACAGTTCACAAAAAAAGGAGTATGTCTACATTTGCAAGTTCTATGTAATGCCACTTCACAAAGGGGAAAGTTTCCAGAAATATCACACCCTCAAGCACTTCTAGGAGCATTGGTAAGTGTTCTCCAAAAATTTTAGGTCAAAAAATTAATTAGGAGATTTTATATTAATTTTTAAGGTGAGCAGTGCACAAGTTAGGGTAGTATGTTTAAAAATGCCGGTCCCCAGGGTGATTTAAATATTTAAATCACCGGTCCGCGAAGTGTTAACCTGTCTCTGACCTGATGACCAGCCAATTTAAAGCAGGAGTGGTAACGACACAACCATGATGTTTGGTCAAGTGATACTGACAGGAACAAATCTGGTTTCATTACACGCTTCTGCAGACTGCTTCACTGATATTTATCGCAAGTGGTGAGACTGATGCATTGGGTACAGTATGTAGCAAATGTTTGGAACAACTGTGTAACATGTTCAGTGCTGCTGCTCTGTGGTGGTCAGTGCATCTCAGTTCTTTGTTATGATAAGGAAACCAAAGAATGAATCATAACTGTCCTTAAAATATTCTTCAACCTGTAAAGAGCTGTAATATTAAGAGAACTTCCTGCATTCTGCCCACACAGTGTGTTTGTGCATAAGAGACGAAAGCAGCTAGATGGTGAGACAGTTATCTCTCAACATATGAAAATAACAAGAATTTTAGTAAGGATGGGTTGTGAAAAAATTATCTGAATGAAACTGGGAAAATTCAGTGCACTTTTTCATTATCATTCTTACAATGATGTTTTAAAATGTGCATTATCATTTATTGTCAACTACTGCCATACTGTCTGTCAGTAGCAGACAGTGAGGGTACTTTCCCTGAACTGAACTGAACTGAACTGAACAATGTGGGTGGCCCTTTGTATTATTATTATTATTTTTTTGGAGAGGGTGGGTTTCCCCATGCACCACGACTAGTAGTCTATTGCACGTCCCCCTTTAATTTCTACTGTCACCATACCCTACCAGTACTGGTGCTTGCTATCAGCCCCACTCTGCCAGCGAGGTCAGCCCTCTTCTGGCACTGGTACCTGATGCTTCCCCATCTACCGGAGGCATTGGAAACTACTTGGGCGGGAAACTTTTTGCCTAATTTTGCTCAGAGGTCTCCTAGAGACATGAGGATCTTTTACATGCCGTAAATCTACAACACAGGACCCACGGCTTAAAGTCCCTCCTGGAGGACTTGTTCCCTGAATTTTTCCACCCTTAAAATTCCATGACCTCCGCCGGGTTTGAACCCACGTACCTTGAGTCATGAGGTGGGAACGTTACCCCTGGACTACTGAGGCCGCTTGTGGCCCTTTGTATATTTAATGCTTGTGCCCGAGTTCCATATTCAGGAGGTGTCATGTTTCACATCTCGGCCTGGAGACCAGTTACTGTGATACCAGTTGATATTCTTTGCCGTAATCCATACCTTAGATTGGGCTGCAACCACTTCCTCCAGTAGCCTTTCTAATTTGTTGTTCCCTTATCATGACACCGTCTGACATGAAGCAGTCTGTGGCACTGACAGCTTCATAAAGTAAACCATAAAATAAATAAAGTAATAATGATCATGGGGTGGCACGCGGTAGCGCAGTTGGTTGAGGCACTATGCTACAAGCCGGAAGGTCATGGGTTCAAGTCCCAATGAGGTCATTGGATTTTTTCAATTGACCTAATCCTTCGAGCCGCACTATGGCCCTGGGGTCAACTCAGCCTCTAACAGAAATGAGTACCAGGAATATGGGTAAAGCGCGGCCAGCGCGAAGGCTGACAACCTTACTGCCATCTATGAGCCGATTGTCTAGAGAATGTGAGAACCTCAACATCTCACAACCCTATGGGCCTCCACGGCCTGTTACAGAGATACCTTTACTTTTTTTTAATAATGATCATGAATTGATGTAGGGAGGTTTGGGGTGTTTATTAGCTTGATCACTGTGAAACTGGGTCTCTGAGGTTCAGCTGGTCACATGCTCCAGTTTTTGAGCCTAATGTATGCTGCTGTAAACGTTAAATTTTCCAGATATTTTTACCCTCCAAAGGACTTGTTAACAGAGTTTCTATAGTTTAACAAGTGATTGAGTTCCTGCCTCATAGAAAGCACACTGTGTCCACATTATGAAGATCAATCAGTTAATTCTGTACAGGAAAATAACCACTGTTTGCTCTGACAGTCATACGGAACACATAAATACACCGTGTGGGCAAAATGCAGAGCTTTCTTTAATGCTGAAGCAGGCGGTATATATAGGAACCGCAGTGCTTTAAAGTTAATAGACTCATAAGCATATTTCAGAGAATGAAGTCAAGGATATTCATGCATTGGTGGATTTTTAAAACAGTATTTTGTCTCTTCTGAGAGAGGCTTGTTCACTTTTTGCACTAACACTTCTAACTGAAGACATTGTAAGAATTCTGGACACACACTCCACTACACTTCCCATGTTTTTGTTTCCAAATGTTATGCAATGTTTTGTAAAAGAGTTTATACCACTTCTTTGACATGACAACTTAAATATATAACATAGAATTATTTTTAATATCCTCACTCCTGTCCAGCGGGCTGTTTCAGCTGTGGCCTTCTGCATTCAGATGCTGTGTGATCTTATAGGTGGGTCATGACAATTTAGAGGAACATACTGCCTAGATCTTCAGGGTTGAATTCAGCCAAGTTTGGAAAGTGACTGGTTCCAGCTTGGCTCAACTTAACCCTGGAGGTAGAGGCAGTACATCCCTTCAAAACATTACTACTGAACCACCAGTTTAGTGTCATATTCTGGAAAATCGCAATATGAATATTCAATGCAGTGATAACCCCAAATTTTATGGAGCCAGTTCCATGTTTCTGTGATGCAACACTGAACTCTACAATTTGTGGGGCAGCATCCAAACACGTTTGCAAAATGCAGTTCAAGAATGTAACAGCTATGCCTAAAAGTCTGTTGATTCAGCGGTAACAACTTCATTTAATACAAGAGTTGTGGGCAGGGGTGGGCTATCTGTCACTTCGATTATAATTTCAGGGCTAGAGGGCATACTGTGGTCTCTTTCACTCCCCTTGGGTTCGTGAACCTGTGCCACGGTTACAGGGATTGTTTGCGAGTGCACCTGTTCATCACACTTTCCCATACGAGGCAAGGGAACCTTCAGTATTGCCGGTTTCTTCAATATTGACTGAAGATTGTTGTCGGGTAATTCCATTTTCTCTCGAAAAGGATTTGCATTTTTGAATATCGCATCCTGAGCTGTCATTGGTTGCGTCTGATTACATTTTACATAGTGAACACTTGGGTACTCTTCTTTCTTTGTTGGGGGCAGTGCACCTGATGATGCGTCCAGTTTTGATGGTGCTCCTAGGAATCGGTTTGATGCAGCTCCTGTTGTGTGTGAGGGCTCTTGGCCCATTGCTTCACGCAAGGTCTTGATCTCGAATGAGTACTTCCATGCTTTAGCTTCCCCATCACCACATTCACGAAGCAATTTCACAAGACGTTCTGCATGTTGAAGGTAGAATCTGGCTTGCCGGATTGCACAGAAAGAATTGCTTTTCTTTGCTATGTCAATAAAGTGCGGTATAAAGAAGTCCAGTAATGCAGTTTTCCTGAGATCCTCTGCTCTCTTTTTTGGCTGTAACTAAACAAAAACAAAAGGAATGCTGTATGAGATTTGAAATGCTCATGGCCGTGAACATGAAAATTACAGCCTTGTAGGATGTGGCAGCACCTGATATACTCGTAGTAAACTGGTACAAACATTTTGGAGAACTCTGTGCAACCATCTTAAAATTACACAGTGTCACATCTTGGAAGAAATACTGCTCTCAACAAACATTTAATACTAATATACAACTAATACTAATGCTGAAGGTGTACAAACGGAGTGGAAATGACTTTTCAGAAACACACAGATACCCCAAATCAGTACATGAGGCATGGTCAGCCCATATTAAAAGAAAATTATTGTAGTGTAGGCTGATGAATTTGTTCCTGCATGTGCAACAACAGAAACCACTTTGGATTTGCTTCCATATCCTAGCAATGGCAGAAGATGGTGTAGATTTTCCCCTGTATCCTAGCAAGAGCAGAAGATATTTTTTTTCCCCCTGTATATTACCAATGACAGCAGATAGTTTGGGTTTTCCCATGTATATTAGCAATGACAGAAGTTAGTTTGGGTTTTTCCTTGTATTCTAGCAATTACTCGTATTATTATTATTATTATTATTATTATTATTATTATTGCTAGTGGGGTGGGACTAAGTCCCTTGTACTGTGGTCACTTCTGGCTTATTGTACCAGCCCCAGATAATAGGTGAGGGTGATTGTGGAGCAATTGGTGGAATGAAGATTGGCAGGGGAAACCGAAGTACTCGGAGAAAACCTGCCCCAGCGCCACTTTGTCCACCACAGATCCCACTTGACCAGACCTGGAATCGAGCCCGGGCCACTGCGATGGGAAGCCAGCGACTAATCGCTTGAGCTATGGTGCGGCCTTAATGTATTCTAGCAATGATCCCATCTGCTCTTTTACAGAGGAAGTGATGGGGAAATAAGTTGGCTTGGGTTTGAACCCATGCACATTATGAAGTGTCTGAAACCTTCCCAGGAAGGTCTTCTACCATCATGCCAGATTTGGCTGAGTATGTAGGTGTGGTGGTGTTGGAAATGTATAAAGAACAGACACACATACAGATACACTCTTCGCTGTAAACATTATAGGTACTTACAAATACAAATCACTCCGTCCAATGTGACATATAAGTTTTACTATGTGAAATTCAAAATATTGACAATAAGTTTTTTAAACAACATCTGGAAATCTTTTAAAAACTTTACAATACCAGGAAGCTGCTGTGATTGTGAAACGTTCAACTTTATGCATACTGTGCATTACAGGACATGTGTATGTAATTAAATCAAAACACCTATTATGATAGTAGTTTCCAGCTTGTAATGATGTTCCCTCCGAAGATGGTCCATAAGGACTAAAACATATAAGGGTTGATAGGTTTTCATATAGTAAAACTTATATATCACACTGGACGGAGTGATTTGTATTTGTAATTGTTAGTGTGACGGACCAGAATGAAACAAATCAAATTATAGGTAATATTTGTGTCTCCCAGAAATCTCTGTGTCCTGATGCAGATCATTTTAATGAGAAGGCAGGAAGACTTAAGAAGCTAAAAATAATTTTTAACGTATGTTGAAGTAAAGCTCATCCAAATTATTTTTACCTTTATGTCAATGGAGTCTGTGGAAGGCCTCCGTGATCTTGGTGCAGAAGTTTTCTCTGACTTCTGTGCTGATCTCTCGATCTCAATTTGTGTCCTGACGTCTTGCTTCCACTTTTTCTTAGGATCCTTTGACATCACTGGTTTCCATAAGTCGATATTTGAGTTGTTTTCTTCTTCAGATTCCTCTTCCTCTTCCTCAGTTTGTTTGTTTTTTGGAGCAATGGTATTGAGTGCAGATTGCGGTAGTAGAGGATTGAGCAGTGTCACAAGATTGTCAGTTGTAATGATGTGGTACAGTCTTTTACAGTCAAACACAGGATAAAATGATGAGTCCACATAGCGCAGGTTACGTACTGCTAACAGAGTGTGCATCACAAGGTTCTCCCTAACACGCAGCAACTTCTCTTGGACTTTTAGCAGATGTGTGCTTGGAGTGCTCTCAAAGAGATTTCTTCTTTGAATGAAGTAATCTGGAAGATTTTTCTGCATGATGGTTTCATACATCTTTTCTAGGAACTTGCGCAAAGTCTCTCCAGGACGATCCTCTGGCCAAGCCGCATAGTTCCGCTCACACTGCCAGAACAGGAGAGTTCGTATATGTGTGGGAAGGAGCCCCAGTTGCATGTTTAGGGGCTCCAGGAAACTCTTGTATAGAGCCATGCTGAACAGAAGACAGCGGACCTGTGCGTGAGTGAGCCATGTCTCTAGGTAGCGCTCTGCTTCTGGGAATGCCAGCTGCCATTCCAAGAATTGCTGTTTGTTTCTACCGCGGGTGGGCATATAGCCCAAAGGGAGCAAGTGGCATCCCAGGCTGTGTACATGGTCTAGCATAGCCTGTGTTGGCCATGTATACACTGCATCTGGTCGTGGGTCAGACACACGCTTACGTGGACGGACTTTCCATTTGAGGGCTTCCTTTGGCCAGATGGCAGAGAATATTGTGGGGATGATCTCGTTCCGTATTTTGACAGGCTTGGAATCAGGAGCATCATGGATGGTATCACAGTATATCTTGGTGCCTTGTAGGGTGGCTGAGTCCAGTCCACTGGCGAAACCCAATGATGCTCCAAGTTTCTCAGAGAAGATGTCTGCAAAGCCCCTCATGAAGATGATAGAGTTAAGGTAGTAGCGCGTCTCGAAGAGCTTCTTCCCGGACCTGAAATTTCCACCACCATCATCATCATCATCATCATAGTCATAGACGGGCACATCAGTCGCGTGGAAGCATTGCTGGGGAATCTCAGAGGTGTTGTGGGGGACATGGCCGAGACGACGCTCCTTCAGCAGTCTGGGGGTAGTGAGCTGTGTGATTGTGGTGTATCCGTACTCTGACTCACTTGTGTTGGTGTAGCTCGGGAACCCTCCCTCAGATTTATACCCAGAACTGTCACTGTTCTTCGGACTGTCGCTCGTCTTCACATTGTCTGCAAGAGCCAAATTCGGCAGGGACTGCGCTGCTTTGAGGACGCCGAGTTTCTCCCGCTGCTCAGCCATGTGTGTGTCTGCATATTTGAATGCTCGTATGATGCCACTCAGGCGTCTCTCAGTGGGTGTGAAGCCAGCGTCCTTGTTAGGATCACAGTCAGGATGCTGCGGCCCAAACACTCGTTTGGTTGAGTTCCTTCTCTGTGTCAGCCCCGTATCTGTCAGTATCGGGCGTGTGTTGGGGAATGATGACACTTTCTCTACAGATTCAATTTCCTTTTGCATCTCCAGCATCATGACATGACCTTCTGTCAGGTCGGACGTTTCAGGGACTGAAGAATTCTCCTCAGTTTGACCGTTCTGCTCCTCCACGGTGCTTCTGCCGCTGTCTGCGTACTCTGGGCTGTCACTGGCAATGCGTGTGTATACACCTTCGTCCTCATCGTTGATAATCTCGTACGTTGTACGTCTTCTGTGCGGAAGCATGAACTCTTCAGCCCGAATTTTCAGGTAGCCTGGAACACCATCATTGTCACTTTTCATGAACTGTTACTGGAACACATTTTTTAGCATGGCATTACAATATTTTGTATGAATTTGTCAACTTTGAGGGTCAAACTATATGTGCTCTGAAGATTACTCTCTTCTTGAATGTTACACAATGTAGAAGATCGATTTTTATCTTTTCCTTCCTTATGCTCACAACTGATCCGAATTACTTTGATGAACACAGTAACAATACTGATTACAACTTTCTAATGGTTATTGTGGTTACCGCTGTTGCTTGATTTCGGAGGTCGTGCTAGTGTCGCTCCCACCTCACAAGTTCGCATGTCCATCATGCTCTTACTACCAACTGCAGGAAATTAAGTCCATGATTTATTTTATCCATCTTCTAGTGCATACATTCATCTATCCCCTCTTCTCACTCGCACTACATGTTTCGGCACAAAAGTGCCATCTTCAGGTGCTGATCCAATCCACGACAAACTAGTTCATTGCATGCCTTGTCTATACATNGTAGGAATGAAATATCCTGTACAATTTTAATATTTTAACACTTAACATTTATCAGTATATATGATAAATATATATTTTAGTTATTTTAGTATGTATAGACAAGGCATGCAATGAACTAGTTTGTCGTGGATTGGATCAGCACCTGAAGATGGCACTTTTGTGCCGAAACATGTAGTGCGAGTGAGAAGAGGGGATAGATGAATGTATGCACTGTAAGACGGATAAAATAAATCATGGACTTAAATCAGTGCAACAGGACGCTAAAATATAACAGCAGGAAATTAAATTGTACCAATGTAGCTGTTGTATCAGATTTGATGACATGTTGAAGCATGCGGACGGACAGACAAGACCTCGATATATGTTGCAAAGAGCAGATAATTAGGACATATTACTGGCCTCTTACCTGGCCTGTTGTCGGTTGTTGTTTCCATTGTAAAACGGTAGCTGGGTGTCTCCACGACGGTGGAGTATAGGGCCGCATCACGGTGCTCCACCACCTCCACATTATCCTGCACCACGAACACTCGCGGTGAGTGCAGGGGTTCGTAGCTGTGGCTGCGCTCCCCATGCTCTGTTCTGAACAGCACCCGACGCCTCACCGCCTCGCACAGCCGGTCTGGTGAGACACAGTGCCGCTGGTGCTCTGCTAGGCCCACGTTGCGTTCTGCGTCACGTTCCGATGCTGGGCTCTTCCTCAGCGTCGTCACTTCCCTGCACAGTCAGGATCTGGTATCAGAAGTGATGGTGGAACATTCAGCACCGTTGTGAAGGTGTATGGGGAGAGTGGAGGGAAAACTGGACGTGACTGAGATGCCCACTGTATAGGAGGCTGGGTGAGGACCAGAGCTGGCCTGAACACTCAAGACAAGAGAGAAATGTTTGCCCCTGTCGGGTTCCGGCCATTGAACATCAGTTTCCTTGTCCAGCCAGTAGCTCAGCTAGTGCATTGACTGAGATATTGACAATGGATAATGTCCACAAACAGCATAATTGTATTAATATACTGTCGTCACAAACTTTTAGATCTTATTAAAATGACATACTGGGGCTGACATTATCCTTGAGAATCTGCAGTTGATTCAGGAGAATAAAATAGTGGACTACTCTGTGTAAATAAAAGAATGTCCTAGATATTTTGGGGTGACATTTTGACATAATTTTGTAGCAGAAACTGACCGTATACTGCCGTAACCTACCCATGCTGTGTACCCTCGACACTTCCGGTTTTGTTGCCGAGAACAGATGTCTGTGTTGGGATTTCTGTGGAACTTATCTCAATCCTCGGCAAGTCATAAGTGGCCTTATCTAGATGAACCGGCTCTACCTGTATTCACATATGCCTTCTTTAGTGATGACACAGTAGCAGATAGCACGAGATGTCGACGTTTGCCAGTTCCTGACCACATTCTAATGTGTGCACCCAGGTGGAAGAGTCGAACAGTTCACGCATCAAGTTGGGCCGACCCATAGTGTGCACGTTTGCGCCACGGCTGCGCTGTCTAGAAAACTGTTATGGCTCCTTAAATGTGAAGCCTGAAGAAAGAAGGGGGGGCAAGGGGGGGCAAGCCGATGGCCTGCTGTGTTGTTATATGGAAGCTATCCAGGACCTAAGCAATGCTCACTTGTCAGGATGTTCTTGAACATATTGTTGATTCGCTCTAAGATTGTAAGTGTTATGAGCCATTGTGGACGAGGGTCGCAGAATTTTGATTTATTGGGAGGCTCTAATTTGGAGAAGTAATTTCGGGGTCTTCTGAGCAATGGACATAATTTTGGCTATTTTAAGACAGGAAGAAAATAACATAAAAGTATGGGAAATAGTTTATAGAGTACATGTAAAGGGGCCTATACACGTATGAGCCTGGTTCGGCGAGCTTGACTCGGGAGCCGGGCTCAGATTAATTTCACCACAAACGCATAAGCTAACTCCCAACTTTGCGACCCACACACAAAGAAGTTTGGCTCATTGGAACCTGAGCTGAGTCGGACTCGTGAGCCAGACTCGTACATGTATGGGCCCCTTAAGTATCCAATTATGGGACTATGGAAACCAGGCTTTATTGTGGATGAATATGGCTGAAATTTTTAATTGTCCGGCATTCATCTAAATGACATTCTGCATCTCCACAAGAATGCAGAGACTATATATAAGAACTCGGTCTGTACCTCACAGGAAACACATTACGTCTCCGCTACAGTGCCCAAGCGGTTAATGCTGTTTGGGGAAATAATCCGTTTATTGTGAGAATCATACAAAACACACAAATACACTCTGTGAGCAGAATGCAGAATCTTTTAATGGTAAATTCGGTGGTATGTATAGTTGATAACTATTTGAGTACTGTTTCCCCTGACGTAGAACTGGTTTTGCTCATACCTTCATGATAAAGTTCAATTGTCTAACTTGATTAGTTAGTGCCTGTTCATTTATCCTCACAATAATCTCATCATAATCATCAGTCATCACATATGATCTTTTTTTGACATTTCTTAGCCCGTTGTCATATGTTTATCAAGGAGAGCTATGAACATCCTTGCAATTGCCATTTGCAATTTTGCATGTTCACACAGAGAGCCATGCGGTATAACAAAACACTGATATCATGTGATTCTAGTATCTGTTAACTATGCCAGACACTGTGAGAAGTCGAGGATCTTTCCTCCTCAAATGTTTGGCCCCTCCTTTTAAGGAACGCCATTTCTCATTGGCCCACTGTCAGCTCTGTACCCACTATACCTGCACCCTAGTTTTTCTGTGCAGCTTACTCTTGTAACTTGACGATGGAGATAGTAGGTTCATCCGAAACGTCGGTAGCTGTCTGCCAGACAACATGGCGCCAAATCCGAGAAGACGGTCTTTATCTTTTGTTTAGTTTTATAGTGTCTATGTACAGGGGTTGGACAAAATAATGGAGATACTACATGTATTGTATATTTCTTTGCTAATTCAGTGTTGGACCACCTTCTGCCTCCAATAGAGCTGAGATCCTTCTTGGAATGGACTTGTAAAAGTTTTGAACAGTCTCTAGCAGAATTTTATACCATTTTTCTTGCACATCTTCAAGTTTATTTAGAGATGTTGGGGGTGGGAGTCTGTTCCTCACACTAGTCTCCAAAACTGATCAGAGTGGTTCAGTGATGTTTAGATCTGGTGATTGTGCTGGCAAGGAAATATGTTCAAATTCACGTTCATGCTCTTCAAACCACGACTGAATAGTTCCAGCTATGTGAATGGAGGCATTGTGTTCTTGGAAAACTGTGTCATTTGGAAATAATGTCTGATTACCCAACCTGTCCACGTCATCCCTTGCAATAATTCGGCCATGAAGGCTAACGATAACACCGACAGAATACTGTACCATGACATTGCTGCCCAAGCCATCACAGAACCAATCCGTGTTTCACTGTTTGAACCAAGCCTTCAGAATTGTAGGCTTCCTTGGGTGTTCCCGAAACGTAAACTCCTCCTGCTGTAGGGAACACCGTCAAGGACGACTCATCTGACCGTATCAGGCGCACGCTTCCTGTTCTTTGATGTCCAGGTTTTGTGGTCATGGCACTATCGTTTGCGCATCTAAGCGTTACTCCCAGTAATCGGAGGTTGCAGCCCTTCTGTGGAGTCACGATGGACAGTTTCCGTGGAAACAGCGTCTTCAAGATAAATATTGAGTTCTGCTGTCACCTGTGCTGCAGTAGTTATTGGTTGGAAACAGTCGTTCTCAGTGTACGACAATCTCTTGCTGTCAATGTTGATTTTCGCCCACTGTTCCTCTTTGCTGATGTTGTCTTCCCAGGATTCGTGTAAGCCTTCATAAATTTAGAAACTCGCTCTCAGTACAACTAATAATGTGACAGTTTTGCCACAGATGCTCCAGCTAAATGCGCACCGACGATCTTTCCTCTTTCAAAATCGGTCAAGTCTGCCATTTTCCGATTCTTTCACGCGGACTCTCACTCGACGCAATCACTAATTGGCTTACACGAGCACTACGGAGTGTAAACAAACGGAATAAGACATTCAGCGTTGCCAACTGAAGTTCGTTCATTGTAGCCAACACAAATTCTGTTCCGCGGTTTCTTACTGTTTCCATTATTTTGTCCACGGCTGTATGTAATATATGCGTATAATCGTCAGAGTTCGTCTGTGCCACCGTTTCCCACCAACTGCGTGTCGCAGAAAGAATTGGTAAAGATAAAACAATACCGAGAGAGATATTAATTTTGTTACTGCGTGCGTGGGTCCGAGTCCAAGCCAGCTTTCTTCCCCATTACTTCATCCGTAAGAAAGAAATAGGGACCGTGACAACAGCGCGGTCGTTGCTAGGAAACGGCGCAAGACCCAAGTGAAGGAAACAAAGCTATGAAAGGGATATGGGGAACGAAGGAAGGGATCACTACCCCCCGCCAAATTTGATAGGTGGTATTGTAAGTAACCACCACGAACAACAGAAATGGAGTCGGAAATTTTGTTCCCGGGGTCGCTGCTTCGTGTTTTCGAGCAATTTAACACGTTTCATTGTAAATTTCTGTTTCGAATTTGCATTCCCACGAATCTCGAGGAAAGAATTTTTCGTGGGCCTAGAGAGACGAACGCAATACTCCGAGAGGCACAGTAATGGTGTCATTTTAGGAAAGATATCTGGATAAGTTTGGAGATAACGGTCAATAATGGAACAGCGCTTTCTGTAAATGCCAGGAAACGTTTCTGATAAGAGGAGCTTTAGATAAGTCCGTTTAGTCAGCCACAATAAAAGAAAACATATTACAGTCCATATCCTGGCCAGAATGGACGTCACGCGAAACGTCCGTCAGTCAGTTCACCTGACGCGTCTGTCTGTATGCGATCCGTTGTCTAAATGAAATGCTCTTACCCATTTCACTTTGTGAGTGAAACGTGTCACATGTCCGGATATCTCAGTCACTATAGGACTAGGCTGGACGACTGGGATTGGGATTTCTCTGGTCTTCTCAGCGTCCAGACAGACTTTTGGTCCCACCAAACCGGTACCGGCGGTAAAGCATCTGGGGCGTGGAGTTATATCTCCACTCCCTCATACATCTTCATAGCGTGGCGTTGCATTAAGTACAGGGACAACTTTGCATTTAGACGACAGAAAAACGAGGTACGTTGGTCTGACGTCACTCACGGAGGTCGCTTTAGCAGTCAAGACGTTATGTACAAAAACTGAGTCTAGTAGTGTCTATGACGTTTGTCAGAAAAATGTTTAAAGCTGCTGGCTTGTTGCAGGGATAACTTTATCTTTTCTGAAACACGCTGGTAATTACGGGTATATTTACCGCCTGCTTCTAAGTCATTTAAAAGTCGCCGGGTCTCTGTTGCGAAAACCAACCGGTTAATGCTGTTTGGGGAAACAGTCTCTGTTTATTGTGAGAACCATACGGAACACACAAATACACTGTGTGAGCAGAATGCAGAGACTTTATATATAAGAATTGAGTCCGTACCTCACAGGAAACACCGCAAGACACAGGGGAAAGCATACTGTGCACAGAATGCTTCTTTTTTCTCAACAACTTCTATTGGAAACACTTTTCGCGCTGATAAATATTTATCGAGTTGCGCTCGAGATGGGCACAGAAACGCGTGCAGGCCTTCCTGAAAAGTGTCCGTTTTTGTTGTCCGTATGTCCCGACAAACTTAAGACAACTCCCCACTATCAAGTTCCCTTGAAAATCCGCTTGGCGGTGCT